GCGTTATAATTACCCACACCAGGGTCCCATGAACCCAATGCATCCCACTGGGATTTTTGCACACAGCGTTGGTGTACGGTGTTATTTCAGGAAAATTTTTGATGTTTTTTCCTGCATTTTCTGTTTGCACAGTCACATAGTCACTTTAAGATGTTTTCTTGTTCATGTTTTTGTTTTTTGTTTGTTGCGGTTGCACCCGATTCAAGAGCTGAATGGCTCACAGGGCTATACCAAATACATGGAACGATGAAATAAATGGAACTATGAACTATTTACAGGGGCCAAACGGCTCCTCTGCCTGAAGTCGTTGTAGCGATTCGGGGTCCCACCACTAGACACCAGAGACGCTCTCTCTCGGTCACCACTGTCTGAATAAGGCCCCGAACCAACGTCACTCAACTCGCGTGACAACGACGGATGCCGAGTCGATGCAAAATGCGTGCAACATGACGAAATCACAAATGTGTCTGTCATTAACGGAGTACTGTATAAGCAAAAATCTGATTAAAAAAAATAAATACATTCGGAGTGTGACGCCTCAAGCACGTGTTAGGACACGGAGCGTTCCCAGTGGGGCTCGGGACTATGAGCAGGACGACATTGCGACTTGCAATGATTATGTCTTTCTATGTACTATGTCGAACTTCCTTTGCACCGTACGTAGCCAACCGTGCTCATCGGAGTTGCGGTCTAAATTAGCATCTTCCTGTTAAGATCGTGGTTACTCAAATGAAATAACAGCCAAAAGGAAAGCGTGTGGGTACGGATGAGATTTAAAAAATGTATTTTTTCAACATTAACATCAAGCTCAAATCGATACACATTTTGTCTTGCATCACAAAGCTCCCTACACTGTTGGGAGATTGCACACAGAACATGCCGTGGTGCCTATACGTTCTTGCACAACCCACTACCCCGCACTCTATACACTGCGTGCAATCAAGTATCAGTTAAAAGGTCACGAGTACTAGCCACAAATCTCACCACTCAAAACAAGATGCCACATTTTGTTATTTTCTGTGAACCTATCTACTTGACTTTTAACGAAAGACCCAAAGAATATGAATGCCACATCATAACCCTTCAAGCGGTTAGGCCAAGCGCTGTTTGTGGACAAGCCGTGAACCTGGCGCCATTCCACGTTGTGCCGCAAACGTCGGCACCCTGAGAGAGTGCAGCGCGATGTCTGCACCACCCGCATTCGATGCAGTGAGCTCGCGATGCAGTGAGCTCGCGGTGCAGTGAGCTCGCCGTGCAGTGAGCTGGCTGTGCAGTGAGCTGGCGGTGCAGTGAGCTGGCGGTGCAGTGAGCTCGCTGTGCAGTGAGCTGGCGGTGCAGTGAGCTCGCGGTGCAGTGAGCTCGCGGTGCAGTGAGCTCGCGGTGCAGTGAGCTCGCGGTGCAGACCGCCGCCGTGGAGAGTCGCGGGCAGCAACAACGCCATGGGCGTCTCAGAAGCGTGCGGCGAGCACACCAGCGACTCGCGCCAGCGGCTACACCCCCGGGCACTGTCACGGTGCGTGCGGGTGCAGCGCGCTCGCTCTGGGGGGGTGGTGGTGGTGGGCCCGGCCAGGGAGCGGCGTGTACAGGGACGGGCCCGGTGCGTACAGTAACCAGTACAGTGCGTCGCCGCAGTATAAGCGACGCACAGTGCAGCGACCGCAGTACACACCACGATACAGTACACAGTGCCCACATCACGATACAGTACACAGTGCCCACACACTCTCACAGTGCCCACACACTCCCACGGTACGGCGCGCACAGCAGTCCGCACACGGTACAGTGCCTACACGGTACAGTGGGCGACGAGGCCTTCTCGGATTCGACTGCCGAATTTCGTTCCCCACTCCACCCCACCTCCCCCACCTCCCCTCCCACCTGAATGAGCGTGCCCGCTCTCCTGCAGGACCTCCACATGGTTGCTGGACAAGGCGTGGTGAGCGGCAGGCACTGGGAGCAGAGTGTGGCGACAGCAGCAGGAGGAGGAGGAGGGTGACGCTGCTGCTGCTGGACGCTACCCGAGAGGTCGCTGCCCTGCGCCGCCTCGCGCCCAATGCCACCCAAAGTCACCCTGGCGCATGCGCACTGCGGCCACGTCCGAGCCGGCCCAGCCCCGGGCCACGCGTCACCGGGACAACCCAACTCGTCCAGCGGCGGCGGGGGGGGGGGGCGTGTTTGAAAGTGCGGCGATTGTCGCGGTGGCTACTATCTCCGTGCCCCCACCCCACCTCCCTTCCCTGCTGACGCTGTGAGTGGTCGCGCCCGTTAGCGCGCCCACGTGCCGCGCCGCACGTGGTTGTTCCCGTATCGGTGCTCCTGTCATCGACTTGGAGTCTCACCCAGGTTTTAGGAGGTTCGTTGCTGGCCGACCGTGGGACAACGCGACCGTCCAGAATGGGTTGGCAATCAAAAGAACAAGATACATTTTTTCGAATTCTATAAAAAGAGACTATTAAAAGAGCCGCAATGCACGTGAGTACAAGGTGGTCCTTAATAAGTAACGTCACGAAACAATCCTTTGTGAGCCGCAATCGGCTCCGGACCCCTGTTCTAGACGCACACATCGTACACCTCCTGATTTTGACATTCCTCGACGGAACTGCTCTGGCACATCAACCGCAGCAAATCGTCGACCTGCCGACCGATGCGCACATCTCAAAACATTAAAATGAAAGACAAGCCACAATACGTAGTGCAATTGTGATCATACAACCCAAGCTGTGGACCATATAAACCACTGAAGTCTACGCATCTTGCAGGAGGAGGAGGAGAATCAGCAACACCACACGAGCTTGAATAATGATCAAATAGAGCAAGTCAAGATCTATAAGTATCTTGGGATCATCCTGGATTCAAAACTTAGTTTTGAAGATCACATTGATTATATTGGTAAAAAGACAAAAATATAAATTGGTTTTCTGTATCGACACAAGCACTGCTTCCCCCCAATGTTCCGTTTGGAATTGATAAAAGCTACCATACTGCCTCTACTTGACTACTGTGACATCGTGTATAAATCAGCCCCAAGTACTGTACTGAAGAAGCTTGATTCCATCTATCACTCGGCCTTAAGATTTGCATTGAACTGCCCATATAGGACTCACCACTGTGATCTCTACATTAGGTCAAACTTAACATCTCTTAATGTTCGACGGCTTATGCACCAGATCTTATTTATTCACGATGTACTTACAAAAAATTCCGCAGACTACCTACTGGATCTCCTCTGTTTCAAAGAACAAATTTTACCTCAGGTCTTCGCTCATTTACCAGCTTCACATTCCCTATTGCCGTACAAAAACTGGAGGAAGGGCCTTTGCTATTGATACCCCCAGGGTCTGGAATGCTATTGCCAATAAACTGCATCTTGAATCACTACCTATGAGATCTTCACTCAAAACTGCTCTAGAGGAGTTGTACAACCCTAGCTGCCACTGCTATTCAGTGGCCTAAAATATGGCTCTAAATTTTGGTGTTATAATTTATTTATGTAGTTTATTGTAAAAAATTCGGTCACAGTCCCTATGATCACTGTTACATTGCATTCATGGCTTTTATTTTGGTGATTTCGAAAACTTGTTTTTGTTTTGGCCATGTTTTTGTTTATTGTAGTACGGAGTTAGACTGATGGCCTTAATCTTAGTTGTCTTGTGGTTGTTGTTATTTGACTTGCATCCCACTGGGATTTTTGCACATAGCGTTGGTTTACGGTGCTATTTCAGGAATATTTTGATATTTTTTTCCTGGATTTTCTGTTTGCACAGTCACATAATCACTTTAAGATGTTTTCTTGTTCATGTTTTTTTGTTGCGGTTGCACCCGATTCAAGAGCCGAATGGCTCACAGGGCTATACCAAATAAATGAACTATGAACTATGAGCTCTCTTTTGCAGTTCCTATGATTACGGTACTGTTATATTCTTGGTTCTTTCGGTAAAGTCACGTAGAAGGGAAACAATAAAATAATACATTTCAACCGAGAAGATGGATTCTGGCTTGGCAATCATTGGAAGGATTTGATAAACCATTTCGGGTCTTAATTGATCACGCTTAAGGTGGCTTTCAGACCGCATCCACTATTTTCGTCTCCCCCCTCCTCTTTTCCGAACATAGATGGACTCGTCCATCTGAACAAACTGTCAAATCGCTCTCCGTGGTGCTAACGTTAAAAATAACCGCCACTTTTCTCAAATTTTCTTGCTGTGGTTTTCACACCTTGTGTTGCAGTCGAAACGTCGTGAGAATTTTGTTTTATATTTTTATTATTTTGTTTCCCTTCTACGTGACTTTACCGAAAGAACCAAGAATATGAATCCCTGCAGTCACGAAAGCTTTAAATGAAAATGTACGTACTGTTGCTACATTGTATTTTATAGCTTTATTTTGGTGATTTCGAAAACATGGTTAAGCCATGTTTCTTGCGGAAGTGCGGAGTTGCCTGATAACTTGAATCTAAATTGGCTTATGGTTATATACATTCTACGTGACTTTACCGAAAGAACCAAGAAGATGAATCCCTGCAGTCACGAAAGCTTTAAATCGAAATTTGGCTTATGGTTGTTGTTGTTTGTCTTGCATCACACTGGGATTTTTGCACACAGCGTTGTAATACGGTGTTTTTTTCTGGAAGATTTGCTGGTTTATTCCAGGATGTTTCTGTTGCGCGTCGTCGCTTTAAGATGTTTCTCTGTTCATATTTTGTTTGTTGCGGTTGCACCCGACTCAAGAGCCGCATGGCTCACAAGGCTATACCTAATAAATGAAACTTGAAAACTCTCCTCGTGGCCAGCAGACCTAGACATTGGCATTGAGCTGCTGAACTCATTGCCATCATACACAATAATAGAATAGCGTGTGGGAGTCAGCGCGCTTGGCTTCCGTCTTGAAGGAGGAGTTCATGTTTACTTTGCTGAGCCTGGTGAGAGCTCAAGAGACCTGGGTCACCAACATTACAAAAAAAATCCTAACAACGCGTGAGGTCACCGCGTCCTCGCCTCGCGTGACGTCACTATGTGACGTCATCGCTTCCGCCTGGTCGCCGAGGCCGCCCCATCACCCGCCGCGGTGCGCGCCGGGAGGAGAAGGAGGCAGGAAGATGGCCGCGGGGCAGCAGTGGGTGCTGGTGGAGATGGCGCAGGCCCTGTACGAGGTGAGGCTCCAGCAGGCTCCCACTCGCGCCTCCTCACTCGCCCACGCCGAGTGGTCGGGTGGGCTCGCGCGAGTGGGAGGCTTTATTCGTTAATAGGAAATGTAAAGCCACGGCGAGAGGTGCTTCAGCATCAGGCACGATCAGTCCACTGCTGGCTGAAGGCTCCCCCACCCCGACCTAAACACGGACGCTTCTCATTGCGCCTCCATTCTAGACCTTCGTCCCCTCTAACCGTCACGTTCCCTGAGTCGTGCGGATAATTGAACTCAGCGCCGTATGTTCTCTCATGCTTAGTCTTGGGCTGTGGTTACGTCTCTGCGCCGGCGTTTTTTTAATTCCTGAAATCGCAGCGCCGTGACATCGATAAGTCAAAAGGGTGCCGGAAGAAGTCCGAACATCGGATAGAGTGCGCGAAGCACTTCAACTCGCGTCTGACTGCCCGCGGCACGCAGCTCAGGTGGGGTCTTGGGTTGCGTCATAAATGAGTAGGCGACTCGCCAGCCACATTCACGCTTCATCAGCGGCTCGCACCAACCTCAACATTCACGCTTCATCAGTGACTCACACCAACCTCAACATTCACACTTCATCAGTGACTCACACCAACCTCAACATTCACGCTTCATCAGTGACACACCAACCTCAACATTCACGCTTCATCAGTGACTCACACCAACCTCAACATTCACGCTTCATCAGCGGCTCGCACCAACCTCACTTCATTCACACTTCATACGTGGCTCACTAACCGCACTTCACACTTCATCAGTGGCTCGCACAGCCTCACTTCATTCACACTTCATCAGTCGCTCACACCACCATCACTTCATTCATATTACAGTGCATCAGTGGCTCACACCAGGCTCACTTCATTCACACTTCATCATTCAAAGACGCAGCCCACCTAATATACCATCCACAGTGGCTCTCGTCGCTACACACGCAGGCTATGTCACCCATTATCCGAAACGATTTGTAAATTTCGTTTTCAGACGAAGACTTGAAGGTGATTTTACGCAGCACGCTTCGGCGACGTCTTTGCAGTGACATTCACAGACCAGAAATGACATTGCAGTGTTGCCCAACGTCCACGGTTCGATGTCATGTAGCTCAACATGCTTCGTGAACAAAACGTCAAACTCGCGTCGGAGACACAAAAGAGGTGTTTTTGTCTTTAAAGTTGGCAGACCTTTCCTACAACCTCACATCATCTTGCAGTAGCAGTCTTTCCAGCCTCACGTCAATTGCGCCCGGTCGAACTACAGCAAAGTGTGGGTTGTGCAGGGTCCTTCCCCACTGTCCGAGATGGGACATTTATCATTTACAGAGCAGCAGTTTTACATGAGCGGATACTGACTCGCATAAAACAAACCTTGAATAAAAAAATATTTGTCAATAATTATGCTTACGTAAAAAAATGTCATTCCATATTTACTTAAGTATATTATAAATAAAATGTAAACGTATGCAGATGTGTGTAAATGCTACGTATAACGCCTTAATATGCATATTGTGAGAGCAAAGATAATATACAAACTAATGTATTTCATGAGGTTGTACAATAAATTAAACTCCCCGTATAGTTCTGTGGCTGTAGTTATTTTTGTTGTTGCTGCTGCTACTTCGCATGATAGGCCTCTGGCCTCTGCTTAGCAACTGCAAGGTTAAGGGTCATTGTTTTACATTGTTAGGCTCATTTCGTGGGCCATGCGTCAGTAGGTTGTGCATGACTCACTGGGTTCGTGTAACAATGAGTTTACACGCCCGTGTGGTAGACCACATACAATTTTTGTCACAAGAATAGCTATACAGTTTCACTCATCTTGTTTAAAATAGTTTAATGTTTTGCTTTATAATTGTAAGGCATTATTCCAAACATGAATAGTTACGTATAATATATAAGAATTGGTTCCTAGTACAGTAATACCCCAGTTTACATCGGGGATGCGTTCCTGAAAGGTACAACCACGAATATCGAAACGACGTAAATCAAAGCGATTTACAGGGTTAGTGGAGGCGAAGGATGAGGCGGCGGATTCGAGAAGGGACGGACGCTGCTGTCAGCAACATAAGGATGGGTTGACGCGACTTAAATCAGGTTGTGGTATTCATAAAGTGACAACGTATTTGCGAAACAACGCAAAAGGGGGAGACGAAAATTGGGGTATTACTGTATATATGTATTCTCAAAAGGTCACGTGTGTGTGTGTTTCGCAGGCGCCAGCGTACCACCTGCTGCTGGAGGCACTGCTCATCTTGTGCATCGTGCGTCTGCTCTTCTTCTCGAAGTCCTACCGTGTGCTGGAGCGCTCAGACCTCACTGACAAGGTGATGCACAGTACCCCCCTGCGCTGAACAACACTGCGTTTTTAGCACCATGTTGCCCAAGAAAGCACTACCACACGTCACACTGCATCAATGTATACTGCTCATTCCACCATGCACATTGAAGCATTATAGAATGCATGCATATGAATCGTTTTTACTCCTAGTTTTTATAATCAGGTGTTAATTGGCAGGTGATTCTGAATCACTGTTTTCATTACCGACCTTCATTAATTGTGAATCCTTCCCCTTATAAGTCAAGCATTATCGATATTGTTTATATCCGGAATATTTAAAAGTTATACCTTTGCAATGTGTGTGCTTGTACATCAGGAAAAAGAGGAGCTAATAGAGGAATGGACGCCGGATCCATTGGTACCACCTGTGCCTCAGGACCACCCTGCACTCCACTACTCTATTGTGTCAGGGTAGGCTCTCCACACACATGGCACACTGATGACACTGTGAATAGCATATTGTGAGATTAGCACATTCCCATTTTTGTACCTTTACAACACAATATATTTATGTACAGATATATTTCGTCGTGCTTGTACACTGTTTTTATGTCTGCGTGTAATACTGTTTTTATTTCTGCGTGTAATACTGATATGCAACTTACCTACCAGTCAACAACAGACAACTTACTCTTTGGTTCTTTCGGTAAAGTCACGTAGGTAAAAAATAAAGTTAATCAAATCACGATGTTTTGGAAGCAACACAAGCCTCCGTCATCAGGTGGGATAGTCACAGCAAGAAGTATGCTACAGCAAATTACTTGCTGTGACTATCCCACCAGATGACGGGTGTTTGTGTTGCTTCCAAAACGTCGTGATTTTATTAACTTTATTTTAATTTTTTACCTATGTGACTTTACCGAAAGAGCCAAAGAGTATGGATCATTGCAGTCACAAAAACTTCAAATCTACAGCAGACAACTTGAAATTTCACACGTTTTGTGATTTATCAGCTTCAGTGACCATTATCCAAATTTGACGTACAGCTTCGGATTTTTCCTCTGCGTTTGTGTGCAGGGAGCCAGGAAAGAAAATTGTGGTAAATGACAAAGAGTGCATTAACTTGGCCTCCTTCAACTTCCTTGGACTCCTAAGCAACAAGAGAGTCAAGGTGACAAGCATACACCCATCCCACCACACACGAGACTGGCTGTTCCGCACGCTTATCAATGAGTAACAAAACAACCGCAACACATTCGTCAATGACACTACTTTGAAAGGAAGAGTTTATAACAGGTAACATTTTGGGTAATGTCCCTTCTCACCAGAAATAGATATGTCAAATGTGTTGAGTTATTTTGGTATATGTCCTTGTGCACTAGTGCCAATGCAATATCACCAAATTATTTGCTTCATTGGTAGTGTGAGTTTCTGGCACTTGCTGATTGAATATGCGATGAGTTTCCTGTATGTGTATTTTCAGCTGTAATATTTCAGAGTCCAATTAAATCCCGATGGTTTTGGATGTTACCACTTTCTCTGCTTGCATGACTCCAGGATGTTAGAAGAGAAAGTGGAAACTGTGAGTGGCCTGGGTCGAAAAACAAAAGGAAGTGCAGAAACAACTGTATATATGAAATATATTGAAGATTACAAATGAGATTGAGAAATGAAAAGCGATAGAAATATACATTCCAGAAGGGAAGAGCCCAGAACTTTAAAGTGCCTTTGAATTGAGATGGCCGGATTCACAGAGCAGTGCACTAACAACTTCACCACTTCTGCTCCCATTTCCCAAGGTCAACTGCCGAGTTGGTGAACACTTTTTAGAAAACACAGCAACGCCCTTGTTTGAGATAATACAGAAACGAACAGTGTAGCGGGAGGGTTGATTTTCCTAATAATTTCTTCTAACTCAAATGCTCAAGTGGTCTGTGGGCCTTCTGTATTAAACATCGGCTCTCCAGCTTGGCTGATGTCAGTACTGCATTACACACATACATATGACGCAGTAAATGACTTAATTTGACTCACTATTCCCGCATCATAAAATAATAAGAAACAAACGCAGTCGATATTGTTGTTTATCCGGTGCTATCACGTGGACACGGGGGTTTTTTGCCTTATCTCTGTTGTGTTTATATTCGCAAGGCATAAGATGTAACATCTGCACAGTGTTGTGTCATGACTTGAGTTGATACAGAATTGCAGATTGGGTCCCACTCAGAACTGAAATCTGGCCCATGGTGTCACTTCTCTCCGCATGCAATGTATGTTGTGTTCATGGTGTGGAATGCATGTCTAATGTGCCCGTTGTGTGCTTGTTGCATGTTTGTGTGCAGAAAGTGGCACTTGAGTCTCTGGCGAAATATGGTGTGGGGACATGTGGGCCTCGTGGGTTTTACGGCACCTTTGGTAGGTGGTGTAGTGTGTGGGTGCAAGTGCTCATTGTGTTCTCTATATGTTCATTGGGTGTTGCTGCTATAGGAGAGTATTGTGAGGAGATTGGATTTTGTGTAGTAATGTGGGATAATTTATATTCAGAGCATGATTTTTTTTTTACATATCATGTATGTAATATAAATTAGTGTGCAGTGTTTAAATGTGGTTTTATTATAAGGTACAAGTCTAATCAAAAGTGCAAGAATAATTAAAGAGGATAACTGCAGTGTCGAGCAATTGAGAAATGAGGGCATCTTCGGGCGTTGAGTTTTCTGGTCCTGTGGTTCACAGATGTGCACCTCGAGCTGGAGGAGCAGATCGCCCGGTTCATGCGCTGCGAGGAAGCCATCATCTACGCGTACGGTTTCTCCACCATTGCCAGTGCCATCCCTGCATACTCCAAACGCGGGGACATCATATACGTGTGAGTTGGAGCTTTGGTCCATTTTCATGGTTAAAAGCAGACACTTTGAAGCAATGCTTACAGGACTGTTTCAGGTCTCCAGGGCCATTTTAAACAGGTCAAGCTATCTTTACAGAAAAATACATAAACCTATTATGTGCATACATATGTTATGTCCCTGTAAGTACTTGCTGTGTGTGCTTGCGTTTGTGTATGTGTTTACTTACACATGTTGTGATTGCTCGCGCGTGCGTGCGTGTTTGCAGGGATGAAGCGGTGTGCTTTGCCATACAAAAGGGCCTTCAGGCATCCCGCAGCAACGTGAAATACTTCCGACACAACGACGTGGCCGACTTGGAGAGGCTGCTTCAGCAACAGCAGCAAGAGGACCGCAAGGCAGGCTATACCAGCAAGCCCACGCTCGCACCGTGTGCACTTAGGGCTCCACGTTATACACACGTGCAGCGGGAAGCATGTAAGAGTATGTGTGGTGCACATCACATGCATTTGCGTGACGTGCACCACGTTTGTGCATCTAGCACGCACAAATGGTACAAAACTCTAAATAATTCACGTCATTGTGGAGAATATAAGTACAAAATATTTAAGCAGACAGTATTTCCGCTTCACATATCCATCCCTCCATGTAAGAAATAAAAGTATTTGCGGCCTCCCAGAAGGGCCGTGCAGCTGATGGGTGGTGTAAGAAACGCCGTTATTTTTTTACGTGGAGAGATGGATACGTGAAGGAGACAGTCTGCTAATCTCTTTTGAGAATGTTTACTCGGTTACTACAAGAGCTCACGTGATTCATAGAGGTCCCTCGGTAAGTGGCGAGATCTCAATAAAAATGATCCGTCACTGATCCTACTGCCATGCAATTCAAAAACCGGTCAATTCAAACTGCAGCCGAATTAAAACCATTGATGAAAACAATCACGACCCACACATCAACACTTTGCTTTCACTTACGGAGAGATTCCAACCAAAATCATTAATCCAAAAATAAGATTGACTAATGTTCGCACGGACGATCGCGTGCGCTTGCAGAACCCGAAGAAGGCGAGCGTGGTGCGGCGCTTCCTGGTGGTGGAGGGGCTGTACACCAACACGGGGGACGTGTGTCCACTGCCTGACCTGGTGAGCCCTGGGCCTGCCACCCCTGTCCATCGTCGGCACTTACTCCAAACCCTTCACTGTTTCGTCAACGAGTCGCATTGACGGCTGGCTCAGAACGGGCGTTGAGGTGGTGCGCATCTCCCGTTTACAGCCCCGAACCAGTGGTGGAAAGTCCACATTCCAAATTGGTACTCGCTTTACTGACCCCGGAGTGATGGAGGGTTGCGTTGTCCCCCCAACCGGGATTTGAACTCTCCATCCTTGTGATTGCGAGCTGCTCGCTCTACCGCTGAGCCACCAGACAATTAAAGCTACTGTCCCAGGATTTTGAAATCTTTAATACAAGTCAGTTGATCATTTGTCATGAGTACGTGCTTTAATGTGCATGCTTTTGAAATGCTGCTCGCTTGTTTGTGGTACATGGTTAATAGTATACGGTTGCTGCACTCTGTGCGTTGTGTGTGCACATGTGACGCTGCACACCTGTTCTGCGCTTGGCTGTGCAGGTGCGGCTCAAGTACCAGTACAAGGTGCGGATTTTCCTCGAGGAGAGCCTCTCCTTCGGTGTGCTGGGGGAGACGGGCCGCGGAGTCACCGAGCACTTCGGGGTCAACGTGAGTGAGCGGGGGAGGGGGGAGATCAAGGTGGGCGTTGGGGGAGGGTAAGCGGGAGTGCATCCAGTTCTGGCACGTTAACCAATCTCGCCGCTCCATCTCCTCGGTGGACGTTCACCTCGGACTCGTCCCGTCCCTTGGCTGCCATGACAAAGCAGTAAAATTGAACTACGGGTGACGTAGCCCGGAGTGGAGAGCTGCCGCCTGAGCGAGGAGATTGCCGTCTCGGTCCCAATGCAATCGTCAAAGCGATAAGGAGAGTAGCAAACGCCACTGGACAGCCTCGTGCGGTGGAAGGAATCAATTTTACCCTTGCAGCTGTGAGTGGTTATTAATATGTACTCGGAGTGTTAATGTCATATTTTCAGCATGCATTTGCATAGACTATCTTGGCCGAGTTCCCCACATTTAGTATTTTTACCTCCTTCGAGGTCATGCTACAGTAACGAGAGACTCATCCGGTGAAGCCCCACACATGAGAGATGACATACGAGTCGTGCACAGACGATTGCTGATGGTGATGACCAGGGTCCATTCTCTGTGCAGATTTGACTGATATCGCATTGGCAATGGTTACAAAATTATTGAAAGTCTCTGATTGGAACACCTTGGTATGGGTAAACGTTGACTTATGTATAACATGTGCTTTTTATATAAAAAGTACTTTTTTATCACACAATGTAGAGTGGGTTGTATATGTCACAGTCGAGTGTGTTGGTGTCTTTGGTTAGAAAATTGTGGGGAGCGTTAGTGTAGTGGTTATTGCATTGTGCTATAAACCCAGCCACCAAGTTCGGTTCCTGCTCACGACCAATAACAGTGTAAATATTTGAACTGGTCCTGGGCATCTGCTGGGTCAACTCAGTCTTAAGTGAGTGCCTGGTGAAGTGTGTAAATGTCAGGACCGGGCAGACAAAGGCAGCCAGAAGTGTGATGCTGGCCACCCACCCACCCCCTTCCGTGCTGTGCCAGCCTTCATCAGTGCTCACCAACAGCACTTGCCCCAAAAGCCTGTTGCAGGCTATACTGGGGATCATTGTATTTGTTTATAAAAATGTACATCTTGAGCAAACTTTTTTTTTGCTTATAATCTCTTAGCTTATTTGTTTGCGCCTGCTATATGTTTTTCTTATATCTGTTTCTCCAACAGCGTCTTGTTTTCCCCATCCAGTCTCGTTTAACTTTTCCTGTGTGTTTGCTCATCTATGTGCACGCTTCAGATCGATGACATCGACCTCATCAGTGCCAACATGGAGAATGCCCTGGCCTCGATCGGAGGTTTCTGCTGTGGGCGCTCCTTTGTGATTGACCATCAGGTAATGCTTCTACTTCAGCGTGTGCCATTGAGGGGGTGGCGATCGATTTGCCATTAAATGTTTTGGTTGCTCAAAACTTTTAACTGTTGGTGATTAAAATGAGTATAAGGTGGGTGACTGGATTTCAGTGATGAGTTTGACCTTCCAGTTAGTCTGTCATTGGAGACTGTATTATTGTCAGTGAGAAAATGATCTTGCAACTAAAGCCCAAATAAGGTTTGGCAGTCTGGTCATGTACTGTAGCTCTTGCCACATCGGAACTAAATCATGTTTAAACAATTAAGACATGCTCATCTGTTTTAATTGACTGTACAAAAAAAACTTAGAGGTAGTTAACCATATAATTTGACAAATTATAGTAAAACCCTGTTCATTAAAACATGTAAGGTCTTGATTAATTTTCATTATACGTGGCAGGAACAAGGCATTGTATTAATCGTGCTCGACCTAATATTGAATTTTGCTTCAGTTTTAAGAGATTTCTCTAAAGCGTCGATCATGGGTGCGTTACGTATTTGTTCTTGTTGACTGCTGTTCGTTAAGATTGTGTGGTGTTCCCCTCTCTCCCAGCGACTGTCTGGGCAGGGCTACTGCTTCTCGGCGTCGCTGCCACCGCTGCTCGCAGCCGCGGCCATGGAGGCCCTCTCCATCGTCGAGGAGTGCCCAGGTGGGGCATGCATGCGGTGCGGCACGCTGCCCCCAAAGCGTTTGCCTTTTGCATAGCTGTCAATCCATACGGTTTACCCGTATTCTAGTGCTGAGAAATTAAGTTTTCAGGTCCATACGGCGTACAGCCATTTCAATACATGCAAAAAAATGTCTTTGTTTGTGTTTCCTTTGTGATCGGACTTTGTAGGATGAACGTTGAGGTTTATAAGGGCACAGGGTGACCAATAAGGTCTGAATTGGTCTGTAATAAGGCAGGCACAGATAAGGGGTTGACAGGTTTGTGCTCTTGGAAGTTTCTTGTCTTCGTTTTATTCTGTAACTCCGGTTCCCACACACCCCAGTGCCCCAGTGTTCATTGGTAGTAGGTAAGACGTGCTTCAGATGCGCAGTTATTCATGCTATTTATTTCGTAATTACTGCTGGATTTAAAACGTTATTCCCAATTTTGCCTAAACCTTGTGGTTGGCATTATCTACAGTCCATGGGCAATTTACGAATGCAAGTCTTAAAGTGCTGGAACCATCAATACAATTTTGACATACATAATGGGTAAAAACCAACTATAGAAATTATTTGAAATTAGACCACTGCCGTTCTCCGAGAATGCTTCTATGTTTTGATTTAAAGCTTTCGTGACTGCAGTAATTCATATTCTTAGTTCTTTCGGTAAAGTCACGTTTAAGAGAAACAATAAAATAATAATTTATGCAAACCGACACACCTGATGACGACCGTTTGTGTTATGGTCGAAACGTCGTGAGAATTTGTATTGTTTTATATATATTTTATTATTTTATTGTTTCTCTTAAACGTGACTTTACCGAAAGAACTAAGCATATAATGCTTCTATGTGTATAGACAGTATATAAGCAATGTTGTAAATAGCCTCTGGCAGCTTTATTACAATAGGCGGGGATTTCGGTGCAGAATTTGTCAACACCCACTGGTTTACCAGTCCTTATATTACTTTGTGGTCCTAATTTGTGCTCAAATCCTGAAACGTGCAATCTAGAAATAACCACGTATGTGTGGTGATTGTAGGTTGGCGCTTTGCATGTCATCTCTAGATGTTAAATGTATGTGGTGCTTTTCATAGTCTGTAACATATTTGATTGTGCGATTTATTTTCTAGATATTTTTGGCGAATTGCGCAAGAGAAGCAAGCACATGCACAGAGCACTGCAGGAGTGAGTAATGCAGGGGCACCACAGTTGGCTCATCACAATACACTCCACCCCACCACGAACACATCTCTCATGCAAGTTCCCACAGTGCGTAACATCCACAGACATTTTGCATCACTTCACATCCTTAATGTGACCGTTGTTGCCGTGTCATGTTATGCACCACGCCTTCCCGTGTTCCCAAGCACCGTCCTGCTCTGCGTCACATTCACAATGCCGTCCCGCAATGTGGCGAGGCTTTCGTGTGCACGTGCACGTGCTTGTGCCGCTACACGGCGGCGCGCGTGTTGTTTGCCGATGTGGCGCTCGCAAGCGTGTTGACATGGTGTGCCGTGCTTGCACGTTGCGCGCAGCGTGCCAGGGCTGCTGCTGTGCGGCGAGTCCCTCTCCCCTGCCGTCCACCTGCGTCTGGCCGAGCCGTCGAGATCCCGGGATAAGGACAGACGCACCCTGCAGAGGGTCGCAGAGCTCGTGAGTCTACCTGTGCTCGTCGGTGTTGTTTCTACAATTATTCAACTCGGAACAGATTTTTATTCCGTGTTGCGCTCATGGTAGTTGGCAGCTTAAACCAGTTTGCTTGCTTGGAACTTTCAGAAGTGTGCACGGTATAATATATGCACCTGCTAAAATATGCCAACGTAAATTATTGTAAATATACGATGGCTCGACGTCGCATCTGGATAATGACTGTGATGATTTGATGAATACAGTAAGATATGTCGCAGCTAATGCCACCAATGTCCCACCACATTTCACCATCACTTCCTCTTTCAATTATAGAATCATTCCTTGCTGGCCCCTTCACTGACATCTTCCATTTCTTGTCGCTTATGTACAAAGGAACGCTTATAATAATAGGGTTTTTCCCCTTTTTTCTGGCAACAGATCTGAAACCTTTTTACAAGGATTCATGTCTGCATTAACCACAATACCTGCAGTCAAAATTCAAACAAAAAACATACTATGATAATATATGCATTGTCCTTGAAACTGATTGGTCCACACCAAGGGACGGCTTTCTTTTGAGCCTCGACCCAACTGGTGTTCGATCAGATGACGCCAAAAGGCGTATAGCCTGGCTCAAAAGAAAGCCGTCCCTTGGTGTGGACCAATCAGTTTCAAGGACAATGCATATATTATCATAGTATGTTTTTTGTTTGAATTTTGACTGCAGGTATTGTGGTTAATGCAGACATGAATCCTTGTAAAAAGGTTTCAGTTTTGTTGCCAGAAAAAAGGAGAAAAACCATATTATTACATTTTGGTACTGGCAAAGGAGGTCTTAATGATGTAAAGGAACTCTTGTTCTGAACCTGTTGCTATATTTAGCTATGTCTCTTTTTAACTTGGCGTACGTTCTTCAATGGAGCAACCCCGAAATATCCCAAGTGTCGTTTGTGTTTATAGACCTTATCTCCAACGCCTTCAGCTTGCGTGCTCGCAGGTTTTGGTTGTTCATTTTTGTAAAGTGAGAGGGGAAAACAGCTTTGTGCGTATAGGAGGAGACCGTTTCCTTTTCGACAGTTCTGGCCTTCCCCCCCCCCCATCAAAAATCCACGTCGTGAGAATGTTTTAAGTTTTCTTTTCTCTCAATCGGAATTGCTTATCTCCTGGTGTCTGAGAGATAAAAGTCCAAGCGATGTTGGATCATAAACTGCTTATGATAAGTTCTAACATTCTGCGCTCCTCTCCTAAAAACATTCACGATTCGAATGTAATAATTATTGTTGTAGTAGTGTGTCCATTGGTCTCGAGTTTCAGCATTTCCCTCTTGTCCTCCAGTGCCTGGAGGATGGGGTTGCTTTGACACAAGCCCAATACCTGGAGAAAGAAGAGAAATTCACACTCCCTCCAAGGTAACATCATACTACAGGGCCACGAGAGAATATTCCTGGTGTCTGAGAGATATTCCAGTTTACAATTCTGCTGTTAATCCAAGGGCGACAACCATTTCACCTTAAGTTCTGTATGTGTTAGTCATGCGAATGTGAGCAAACTCGGTTATGCGTGCTTACGTTTGTGCACATTCCTGCGCGCGCAAGGATATTCACCTCAATCATGCGAATTCTGTGGTGCGTGCTTTGTATGTGCACGAATGTTCCTGCATGTGTGATAATGCAGTGTGCGTGCATGCGTGCCCGTGTGTCAGTCTGAGAGTGGTGGTGAGCGTGGAGCTGACGCTTGAGGAGTTGGATCTGGCGGCCCAGGTGATACGAGGGGCAGCACGGCGCGTGCTCGCGGCTTGAAGGAGGACCAACGGTGAAAGAAGAGGCGCAGTTATTTTTAACGAAATTACAATCGTGTAATTTAAGTACAGGGAGCACTGATTTGCTTTTCTATTGCCGAATGAGGACTTTTGGGCATTAGGTTAGGGGGGTAACGCTCTGAGAAGGCACAAACACAAATAACGGCATTGGGTTTTGCACACTTGCCTGTGATTGCTTTGAAACATTGATCGGCTACAAAAGCAAGAGGCTTTTGTGTCTTTTTATTTTTCACTTTTTGTAGTAATGGCATTACCGTGTAGGTCTTGTGAGTTCAGCGCTGCCTCTGCACGTGCATTGCCAATCGTGTCAATGGGAAGATTCGGGGGTCACGAGGAATCCCAGCTGATGGCACGCGTGGGAGAATTGTTCAGGTTGTTTACACGGATGGTGTCACTTCTGATAACTTTTATACTCGTGTTCATCGTGTGCATTAAGGCAGACGGTTAAAAGTAATACTTTGTAACAACTTCATTCCATCAACTCGGCACGAGCATAACGGACCTTAGTTGTAAGTGCAGCAGATACACGTTGAAAGTTTAGGTGACGTACAAAGCTGCACAACTGATAACTCGTGTTGAAAAGCTGTCCTGAGCTGTCGACTGGACCAGGGGAGTGCTCGGCAAGTAAATGCGTTGCCGTGGGCAGAGGGCCGGGCCTGGTGTACGTGGGAGAGCGTGCCGGTTACCGTTCAGCCGTTTTAATCGGTCACAATACTTGTTTTTATCACTGAAAATATGGATTATGGCCCAAAGTAAAGAACATTTATATTTTAAGTTTAATGTTAAATTAACAATAAACTCTAGTTTGAGTACAACTTGCATGAGTTCTGTCCACCACAACTTGTATTTGTTACCAGTGCTGTGGAATGCTCAGCTGCAGTCTCGTCACGCGGGCTGTGGATGGTGCAGCATGTCACTGCTGTTTTAAGTTTGTGACACTTTAGTGACGCAACAGCTGACGGGACTTGGCGTTGTTGCAATCTTTAACATTCACCTTTAGAACTAATTGCATCATGTGCACACGCAACGTAATTAAACATAAGATCAACGAAATAAACGTCTTTCCGCCTTACTCCATTATCCTAATTACTTTCACATCACGTGCCCTTTATTCCGCTGTGAACCTGGCGACTTGACTTGGATTCCTGTCTACGGCTGACGCGAGTCGAGAGTGACATCTGAACTCTACCCTGCCCCCACACCTCTTCCCACTCTGGCGTAGCGTGCCCCTGCTCCCCTCTGTGTTTAGCCGCGCCACCTAACCTCGGGTTTCCCAACTCTAGTCCACGCTCCGTCTTTCCCCATTTACCAAATTATGCCTCTCATTCCAATTAACTCGTTCCACGCTGCACGCACCCAATAATTATTAAACAAGACCCGCTCAGCAATTAACTGTCTGCATCACGTGGAAGGAGTACGCGCACATGTCTCAATTTGAATTGGCTCTTGCCGCAGACATCGGTAATTGCTCTGCATCGCATGGGAAGCATTTAGCAATCAGTGGGCGCGTGTCGCCTGGAACGAGTTTGTATTTGAATGGGAAGAGTAAATGGATAAAGGCAGAATGACGGAGCGTGGTCGTGGATTGTGAGGACCCGGGGTTTGGGAAACCCAGGCCTAACCCTTTGAGAAGATCCTTACAGGAGACATGTCCATGTAGAATGCTTTTAATACAGTAACATTGAAACTTTAATAAACGTTTATGCGAAGGCCTCCCCAAGATACAAAAAGTGTACAAACGCTAGGCATACAGGCCTCCCAACTTCTCCCCCCAATCCCCTCTACTCTGGGTCTCACAACTGCACTTGACTATCCAAGCCGTACTCGCGTACCGGCAGCACACGTCACATGTGCATACTTTTCCTCCACGCTCTTCGCTAGGGTCGCCACCTATGTCCCGGTTTTCCCAGGACTTTCTCTTTGTTGAGGTAGCTATCCTGGGCAATCTGTTAAGTCTTCCTGGGACATTAACATTCCAGTTTTTTTTCTGACACTTGCATTCAGAATAAACCACACAGCGCAATGCATTGACGTGGACTGTAGTTCTCTCCCACACAGAGAGATTCTTTCCATTATAAGGTCCTCCTGGTTTATTGAAGCCCCAGACTTGGCAATCTCGCTCGCCACGAGTGCTATGATCTCATTCTGACGCGCACACAACCATCGTATCCCTCCCGCCAACACCACGCCCTCTACTTTTGGCGCTTCAGGTGCGAGGCTTCGTAGCCATAAACCTCCCCCTGCCCGCGCACGTTCCCATGACGGAAACGGCCCCGTGGCGAGCGCTCATGCTGCGAGACTCGTGCTGCGAGACTCGTGCTGGCAGAGGACGAGTGGCGTTGTTGAGACTTGGTCCTGCATTCGACGGTCATCTTGAGAACTTTGATTGGCGGATCAAGCCCCGTAGGTTGTCTTGGAAACTGTAGAAGTCTGTGAAGTCTGCGGTGAGCCACTTCCTCCAGACGGACACGGCCAACTGCCCTGCTCCGTCTCCATGGCAACAGACAATGGCGTCGTCCCCAGCAGGGCCTGCAGACACGATCTTCCTGTACAATGGAAACCGAATGACATTCACGGGGTTTTGTTACGGGGAAATTAATAACATTACACGGCGGTGAGCTTGAGGTGAATTAACTGGCAAGGTTCTAACAGTTTTACGGGTTAGGTGCAAAGAGTGCAATTTTACATTATGCAAATGCATAATGTAAAATACATACATTCATCAGTGAATGTATTTGCTATCAACCCGTTTGTGTTCAAAGTAAAAGTGTCAAAAGTTGCTGATACATTCTGGGTAACCATGTTGCAGTGCGGCATCTTATTGAAGAGAGACATTGCAACAGTGTGGTTATGGAATGAGCAGATTCATTGTTTGAGTACACACAACGGGCTGTGTACGCTGCCACTCTGTACGCGTTTGTGCAACAGGGACAAAGCAGCAGCAGCAGCAGCTCCACTTTACCCGAGGCAAATGAAGCCATCGTGGTCAAGGTGCACGCAGCCCCAATACCTGTAGTGGCCGGGCACCTTCCCCCTCATCACGGCGATGACTCGAGCCCGTGCCTCCTCCCGATTCACGTGAATCACCGGGATGTCTCCGCCACGCCTGGCAAGAGGGGGAGCGTACGGAGGATTGATCACGAGCGGCTGGAACCAGGATTCGAACCCAGGCCCTCAACGGAGCCGGCTGAGTGCTGCGAGCCGAGCCACCCGTCCGCACGCGGACGTCGGCTGCCGCCTTCTCGGTACAGTTCAAGCGCAGGGCACGGGTCACCGAGAGACACCGCACCTGCACGGACCCGACGCCCGCGTACCTTGGCACCCACAGGCAGTCCCGGACGGATATCAAATCCACTGCGCGCAGGTCATCCAGCGCCTCTCTGTCGAGTTCCGCGCTGCGCTGCTGCTCGACGGAGTCCTCTTTGTTGTCACCGAGCGACGGAGACTCGTGCGCCCGTTCCTGGCGGCCGTCTGCTGCCTGCGATTCTTCGTCATCAGAGGAGCCGTCGACAAAAATCTACAGTGGGTGCAGAAAAGAAACATTGAGGGTGTCAAGCAAACATCCATACGCAAGCTCTCCCAGCAAACAACTGGCAATGAAATCGGCACGCTGAATTTGCATACTATAGATGCTGTACTTTTACATGTAAACCATATAATAAACTGATCGTTTAATATGTCAAGTGTGATCAGGCTCAGTCATGTTTTGTGAAGCGGAAATCTGGATTGGACAAGCAAGAATCTTCTTTTTAACGGGACAAAATCTCCAGGAGGTGTGTGCAAATAAAACCCAAGATGCATTGCAGGATGCAATGGAGGAGCATGGTTTATGAAGAGTTGCTTTCAAAATTAAAACAAAAAAAAACTACAAATTATCCACCACTGAAAAACAAAAACAATTAAATTACAAGAAAAAATTAAGTTAACATTTGTAAAAAAACAAACATTACAATGAGGACTATTGTATTAAATAAAACAAGCATTCTATAGCCAGTTATATTGGCAGAAACCCTCATGTGAACAGAGACATCTTCACCTCGTTACCGCGTGCCGGTTGGAGTCAATCTCGCTTGCTCTAAACCACATTAAAGATAAGAGGAGCCGACCAGAGAACAACCGTCAACAACCCGACCATGAAGACCACAACTTGAATCTCACAGAAACAGGCTGAGGACACGGGCGTCACCTGAAGGCCTTTGCCCACGGGCGTAATGTGCAGCCGTCTCCTCTCCTCGCGCGTCCGGGCGCGAGCGGCGTACCCGGCGAGCGAGAGCGCGTCGCCACGGGCGACGCTGGCGTTGAGCGGGTAGCGAGCCAGCAGCGAGTACGACTCGGCGTCGCACGCCACCAGCGCGTTGCTCACGTCGTCCAGGGCCCAAACCGTCTCCGCGGAGGCCGCGGGGTCGCCGCCGCGGGAGGACGAGGTCACGGCCAGGGCCGCCACGCGCGACGGGGGGACGGTGACCGCCGAGAACATCTCCAATCGACGCGCGATTCGGAAACCTTCCCGCTCCGCGACGACGACGGCCGGGCCGTTGCCGAACCACAGCTCCTTCCCATCGCGCACGGAGACGATGGCCCTGACGGCCGTGACGGTCTGCCGCGAGTCCCACTCGCTCACGCCGAACACGTGCAGGTTGGCGTACGCGGGGCACAGGTAGAGCGTGGGCTCCAGGCTGGGGGAGCTCGGCTTGTTGAGAAACACCGCCACGTTTCCGTCTTCCAGCCCTGCCAGGACGTCGCACTCGTCCTGCGGCGGACAACGCGGGCAGCTACAGTCGCCTCCACCGGTCACGCTCCGTCTTACCGCTCCGCTCGTTTACCCAGGAAAGCCTCACTAAGGCCCACAATTATATTTAAAGTTCACAATAGCAATGAAAGTTCGACAAAAAGTCTTAAAACCCATAAAATAGTTCACTGACGTCATGTATGGTAAAATAACATTTTACAGAAGACTTCTGGCAAGCTGTGGAGTGAATTGCAGTTGAATAACTTAAGTAGTATTCCTTCGTACCTGAAGTCCAACAAAGCGCAACATGAGTCAATAAAATTGTGAAATACGATTAAACAACGTTGAAAGGAAACTGACATCTCATTAATCGTCGTATCATGACAATGGGCATAATTTTGAGATAAATGATATCGTGGCAACCCTGTTCAACGTTGAATGCTTGGCTATCCACCAGGTCCTGACTGTGCTGAGCCACACTTACAGGAGTCTGTGAAGGAATCGTCAGCAGACAGGTGACTTGGGAAGGGACCGGTATGATTCTGTCCGGCACGCAGAGAGGGCACATCTCCCTGAGAACGTAAATCTCTATCTTCAGATCCTGCTTCCACACACAAAGACAAAGGTCCTCCCCGATAGGCTTAACAGCGAGCACCTGTGAAGTCCAGCACGGCACACAAACTTCTGCGGTCTTTAAATTGGGTTCTGCAAATTCCCCCCCCAAATTTTGAATTTTGAAATGTGGAGGCTCAGATGAAATCCACGCTGAGGTGGGGACGGGCCTGGTACACGGCAAAGTGGTCGGTCGCCACGATGTGAAAGGTGAAGTGCTCGGTTTTTTGTATTCGTAGAAGCAGATTTTGACGGCCACACTGCCCTGGAATGAGATTGCTTTGATAGCAAGATAGCACCCGGCCAAATTGTTAGGTTGCATCTTTCTCTCGGGATATTACAATCTACGATGTAAAATTAATCTCTTCTCCAAAGCCAGTGACATCGCGAGTGGGTGCCCATGTTGTTGAACCCAGCATTCTACACAACTCTGAAGACATCAACACATGGCCCAATGTCCTGTATTGTGACTGATAAGTAGTCTGTATTTTAAAGGGTATTTCGAACATATGTTAATATTCTGCAAAAGCATACACAACCCACATTCCTAAAGTGACAAGCTACTCAATTGGTTACTACACATAGCAATCATCATCCCCTACTAGAAGACTAACGCCCACTTGCAGGCCAGGTACTGAGTCTCTTTGTGTCACGCAGGGACAGCTGCCACTGGGGGCGCCCTTCGAATGTTCGAAACGAGGCGTGACGCAAGGCACTTTGCGTCGATGAGGCAAGCGCGTGGAGTATGACTGTGACACTCGTCATCACCTGTATAGAGTGTGGTGCTCGTCATCACCTGTGTAGAGTGTGGTGCTCGTCATCACCTGTGTAGTGTGTGACACTCGTCATCACCTGTGTAGAGTGTGGTGCTCGTCATCACCTGTGTGGAGTGTGGTGCTCGTCATCACCTGTGTAGAGTGTGACACTCGTCATCACCTGTGTAGAGTGTGGTGCTCGTCATCACCTGTGTAGAGTGTGGTGCTCGTCATCACCTGTGTAGAGTGTGGTGCTCGTCGTTACCTGTGTAGAGTGTGGTGCTCGTCATCACCTGTGTAGAGTGTGACACTCGTCATCACCTATATAGAGTGTGGTGCTCGTCATCACCTGTGTAGAGTGTGGTGCTCGTCATCACCTGTGTAGAGTGTGGTGCTCGTCATCACCTGTGTAGAGTGTGGTGCTCGTCGTTACCTGTGTAGAGTGTGGTGCTCGTCATCACCTGTGTAGAGTGTGACACTCGTCATCACCTATATAGAGTGTGGTGCTCGTCATCACCTGTGTAGAGTGTGGTGCTCGTCATCACCTGTGTAGAGTGTGGTGCTCGTCATCACCTGTGTAGAGTGTGGTGCTCGTCATCACCTGTGTAGAGTGTGACACTCGTCATCACCTGTGTGGAGTGTGGTGCTCGTCGTTACCTGTGTAGAGTGTGGTGCTCGTCGTTACCTATGTAGAGCGTGGTGCTCGTCATTACCTGTGTAGAGTGTGGTGCTCGTCATCACCTGTGTAGAGTGTGGTGCTCGTCATCACCTGTGTAGAGTGTGGTGCTCGTCATCACCTGTGTAGAGTGTGGTGCTCGTCGTTACCTGTGTAGAGTGTGGTGCTCGTCGTTACCTGCGTGGCGATCCACACGGTAGACCCGACCTTGGTGAGACACACGACCTTTCCGCCAGGGCAGGGCAGGTGCTTGGTCTGCATGTGGCCGCTCGGCACAGTCAGCACACTGTACCTCCTGCGTGGGCGCACGGCCGCATCGCGCGGCCGGTCAGAAAGATTCTGGAGACTGCTCAACAATCATCGTCACCGTCAGCCACGATCGATCCGCAGCTGGATGAAGGCCTCCCGCTCAAGGGGCTATCACCACCTCTCGAGATCCTGCGACGCAACTATCCGTCCATCCGGCACCCGCACGTGACGCAATCTCATCGCTCCATCTCAAGATTCTTATAGGCAATATGTTTCATATATAAAGGTAATTAAGAGCAAAATATCCACAAGTTTACGCGTCGCAATGAGTGGGGTCACGATGAGCGGGGTCACGATGAGCGGGGTCACGATGAGCGGGGTCACGATGAGCGGGGTCACGATGAGCGGGGTCGGCACGACGTCAAGCTTGCGGCCCACTGAGGGAGTGCCACTCGTGTGGAGCCTACTGGCTCGTCTGGGTTGGCCATTGCCGGGCTCGGCCATCACCGGCTCTCGACCAGCGACGTTCGTTACACGCATTCGGCGTCCGCGACGGTGACACCGGGGAGCAGCGGCGAGCACGATGAGGGTGGCGAGCGCGGCGAGCAGCGGCGAGTGCGGCGAGCAGCGGCGAGTGCGGTGAGCGCGGCGAGGGCTGCGAGGGCGCGTGCCGTGAGGAAGCAGCGGCAGCGGCGGTGGCGGCGTGGAGCGCGAACCTGAGGATGCCGTCGCCGTACCACAGCAGCGCGTGCCGGGGGAACGCGCTGCAGGGCAGGCACGCGTTGTGCTGCCCGCACTCCACGCTGTAGGCCTGGCACGCTGACGTGGGGTCGCAGAGCGAGGTCACGACCTCGTGCGAAGACGGGCGCTGCGACGCAAACCGGACGACACAAACACCGCACGAACGTGAACGTGAACAACAACGCGGCCTTTCCAGAAGATCGCGTTTACAGCCCTAGGACAGTGAGTCTATCAATAGCACAACCACTGTGGACTTCCCAATGAAGTGGTAGTCATTTTATCGACCGAGAGAGGGATGATAGGCTGAGTCACCCCCCCCCCCCCACCAACCATAACCTAGATTAGAACTCGTGACGATTGCGAGCCGCCCGCTCCACCGCTGAGTGAACGCGGCTGGGTAAAGCAGCCAGTTTGTAGAGGTCATGGCAGGGCGCTGCGAGTGTCCTGCAGGCTCCCCTGTGCTGGGGCCTCGAGCAATTGTGGAGAAAATTCCTCTGGGCCGTGAGACGACCAGGAGACCTCTTGAGTGTCATCCCCTCGTTTTCTCCCACAGGCAAAACACTGCTTGTGAGTAGGTCCCTGCCAATGCGTGATCCTCCTGACACAGTGTTGCGACACTTGGTGAGGCTCTCCCGGAAAGATTAATAAACAAATAACATTATTCTTTTAAGGTTACTGCCAAAGATCCCACCGCACACTCTGAACTTTCGGAATTTGACCACCAGGCACTCCAGTGAGGTCAAGGCATTTCATGGAGACAGCACTGTGAAGCCGGCAGGTTTAATTCCACTTCCACGCAACGCGTTGGCGAAAGTGCGCTCATGGGAAACTAAGTGCCGCAGGGATCGGGCCGACTGCGAGGACTCGGAGCCGTCGGGGGGCGCCGTCGGGGGACGCCGTCGGCCGGAGGGCCGTGCCGCCCACCTGCTTGGGGCAGGTCTTCCAACATTGCTCCATGATCTCCGCCAGCGGCTGGGCGTGCCTCCAGGCCTCGAGCGGCACGGTGGGCCGCTCGCCTCTTATCAGTTTCCTCACCACGTCCAGCGGCCTCCCCTCCACCGCGGGACGCTGGCCCGACAGCAGCTCATAGATGACCATGCCCAACGAGAAGACGTCCACCTGGCACGGCGCGCCAGCAACGAGTCGCGGTGGACAAAGCAGTTGCGGCAAAGGTTCATAACAACAAGAACAACAACAACAACAACTGTAATGTCTGCACGTTTTTGACGCTCGCTTAAATTCCCCAGCAACTCAAAGCTGCTCGCATCGCATCTCGCCTCCAACATTCCAAGGGCACCCCCAGTGGCGGCTGTCTCTTTGTGGCGCAAGGCAACTCGGCGCTGGCCAGCAAGTGGGCCTTAGTCTGCCAGGAGGCGCCGACTGCGATTGGAGACACGATCACTTTCCCCGCGTGAGCCGATTGCTTTTTTAGATGCAAGTGACCTCACCGGGACAACTCGATGACAATTAATTTACATACAACGGCAGTGACCCTCCCGGCCCCCGTTGGGACGTCCCGTCCGCGCGCCCGCGCCACTCACCCGCTCGTCGAACACGAATCCCGGCCGCACCTCGGGGGCCTGGTACCCCGGGGTGCCCTCGCTGCCCCGGCTGCCCTGGCCAAAGGAGAGGCGCGAGACGCCGTAGTCGGCCAGCTTGGCGTTGACGGCGACGTGCGGGTCTAGCGACCACACCAGCACGTTGTCGGACTTAAGGTCGCAGTGCAGCATGCCGTGCCGGTGCAGGTAGGCCAACGCCAGCCCCATCTGGTGGATCACCTTGTGGGTGAGTATCACGCCGAGAGGCAGCGGGTCTGCCGGAGAGGGGACGGGCGGTGATAAAAAATAAAAACACCACTTCAAAAACGTGGCCGTCGAATTAATGCTGAAATGGCGTTTAAACTGCACCCTACCACGTGCTTTATTAAACCAGAGGGTGCATCTTAGAGTCGTGCGTGTGTGCGTGTATACGTGTGCGCGTGCGATTCGCTAACAGCACTTGCCCCAACAGTCTGTTACAGACTATATGGGGGATCTTTGTCTTTCTGTGACCAGATTCGTAGAACTTTACCGACACCGGGGACGCTTCGCCTGCAAACACCACGCGGCAGCGCGACAAGCGATGCGTGGCAGGGGGGAGGTGGGGTGGGGGTGTGTGGGGGGGTGTCGTGTGGAGGGGGTGGGGTGTGGGTGGGGTGTCGTGTGGGGTGTTGTGTGGAGGGGGTGGGGGTGTGTGGGGGGGGTGTGTGTGGGGTGTTGTGTGGAGGGTGTGGGGTGTTGTGTGGGGTGTTGTGCGGAGAGGGTGGGGGTGTGTGTGGGGTGTTGTGCGGCGGGGGTGGGGCTGTGTGTGGGGGGGGGGGGGGGGAGCCGTCACGATACCGGCGTCAGGTTCCTCCTGCGAGTGCTCCAGGGCGACGCGGCGCTCCAGGACGTCGCTGAGGCTGCCGAGCGGCGCCAGCTCGAGCATGAGCACCAGCGGACGCACGCTCACCCCGAGCAGCGCCACCACGCACGGGTGGGACAGCGTCCGCATCATGCACGCCTCCACGCGTAGGTCCGCCATGCGGCGCCACACGCGCCCCGCGTGCATCCTCCGCAGCACCGTGTCTGCGGGCGGGGTTGCGGGGTCGCGAGGTCACGAGGTCGGAGGGTCGTGGGGGACGAGAGGGAGGGGGGAAATAGGAGACGGGAATATTGATTTGGGTTCGGCCACAAAGTGTGACGATCCGGTCGAATTTGTTTGTCGTGTAAACCCCTTCACCACCCGACACGGCCAGACAGATTGAACTGTCGCGCAGCGTGCCGGGGTCTAGTGGCGGGCCAGTCATTATCGCTGTTGACAAACTTTCTCCCGGGAACATCGCCTTTTTAAATCCCCACGACGAATATATTTTATTTAACGATGCGATCAAAAGGATTACAAACACGTCATCCTTATCTGGACCACCAGCTCAAAATAACTGATAAGGCTGAGAGATTTTGCACGTGCATTTTGCACCTGCGCCGATGCTTCTGTTGTGATCGTTTTTTCCATCTTTTGCAGGTTCAAACGCATGTCATCATTTAAAATGTTTACAAAGTTTCAAGAACACTCGCTTGTGCAGTGCTGGTATACGAAACGATGACATGATGAAGCCCAAACACGGACACGCTTTCCGGTCAGAGTTTCAGGGCCGCCGAGCCCGACGGCGTCTCACCCTCCTGCTGGGCCGCCCCCTTGATGTGGTAGTCCTTGATGGCCACTGGCTGGCCCTGGTAGAGCGCTCTGTAGATGGTTCCACTGGCGCCCTGGCCCAGCTGCAACTCTTCTCTTGGGTTGTAGTCCAGGCTCGCAACGTCCAAGAGAAGCCTAATGGGCAGAGCACGCGTTTATGGTGGCCCTAAGCGACACGCTAATGTGTGCCGTGATGAATGTCTGTCTGCCTTAGCTGCTTCCACGACTTTCTCAATAACCAAAAGTCATTTACACACGGCAAGCATCGCCCCCTACCGGCAGACTACTGCCCACTTGCAGGCCAGGTTCTGCGTCACCTTGTGCTGCACAGGGACAGCTGCCACTGGTGGTGCCCCCTACAAATGTGAGATGAGATGCGATGAAAGTCGCCTATGGCGTGGTTCCCGCACCAGAGACGCCCGTGCGTCAATGGCGATCTTTAGAAAAAACAAATCGTGATGATCATAATTATGATTATTTTCACATCACCACATGTAACCCTTTTCAATGTTGCTCCTGGCACGGTCTCCGACTCCCTTGCTGAGCGGTGGTCCGACTCCTTGTTGAAGGGTGAACCTCCAGAAGGTGCGAGTGCGTGTCTCACGTGGCTCTCGCGGAGGAAGGCAGCGCTCACCGCTTTGGGAAGTCTGTGAGGAACGCCTCTGGGATGAGCCGGGTCAGGGGCACGGGATTGTCCGCGTGTCTGTGGCACGCGATCACATCGGACCTCACAGCCTCCATCACGCACTCCTCCAGAGTGAATAACCCTGCAGAGAGAGTTCATCCCGGTTGGTATATTTGAAACGAGTGCAGTGAGTGCGACGTGTGCATACGCAGCTACATGCTCGTGGTTGTTCTTGCTCCGATTCCTGTTTGCTTTCACCGTTGTGCTCGGTTTCAATCTTGTTATCGCCGCTTTCATGATTTTGGCGACCCCAGCTCACTCTCACAAATGACACTCTGCACTGGTCGCTCTCTTGAGTTCCCACCGGGCTAAAGACGATCACCTGGGGTGCAGCGACCGTACCGGGCCTATCGTCTTCGCACTCCCCTCCCTGGCCCTCTCCCTCCCGCGAGTCCGCAGGGCCGACGCAGTAGGGACAGGGGATGAGCTGCTTGATGAACGGCGTCCCGTTGGTCTCCACATCCATCAGTTCTGGTGTCACACGGAAGAGAACACGCTGCAGTCATTTTGCCTTTACGGTCTTGTGATGTCTACTGTTTACATGCTCGCTGCCACTCTTAGGATATTTTATTGCGTGCCAGGTTGCATGGCGCCTGCGAGGGGCTGGGGGCGACGCCACGCGTCTCGGTCCGACCACGGGGGCCTCCGCCCCGGCCCGGCCCGCGGCCCTGGGCTCGGTGCCAGCGCAGGCCCCGCCTGACCGCGCCACTCACGCCCAGCGGCGCGGCCTTCACCGCTCCAAACGACGCGGCCCCCGTAGCAGCGTCGTGACCACTCGGGAACCATTTCCGTTTTGATGTCGATGCGTTTGATCGATTCGGCTGCAGGGAAGTGAAACTACGCACCCCACGCAGGTAAAAGTATCTTGGAGACTTCCACAATTCACACGGGCACGGCGGTGCAGCAGAGAAGTAGCCCTGCGTGGAGGTATCTTGGAACCCACCGGGGAACCAGTGTTCGATGAGCGTGTTGACGTGGTCCGTGACGAACGCGATGGCAGAGAAGTCCTGCGACTGGGACTGAACCAATATCTCGATGCCGGGATGCTCTCCCGAGTCCCCCCACTGCTTCCCTGCAGCCTCCACGCTGTCCGGGGTGGGGGGGGGGAATGGAAAACAAAATAAACTCACCCCCACACACGGGGTCAGCGCGACGGCGCCAGCCAACGCTACACAAGCGCCATTGTCACTAATAACTTTTAAAACGTTACATGTTCATTCCAATTAATTGTAATGAAAATATAACGTTTGAAAACACAGCGGTGCAAAGTGACGTAAAAACCTAACACATTGCCAATGACATTGTCATGATGATAATAATTCTTACTTCAACTGGTACCGCGCTGCACAGGGTATTTTCTCGCTCTCGTAGAGAGAGGCCGACTCAGAGACGGCACCAACAATTGCCCAATCTCTGCGGTCCTCTACATATGAAGGTGCTACCTGCCAATTAACGAGCGTTTACACGTGGGAGGAATGCGGAGCAACCAGAGAAGACCCAAGCGTGCGAGGGGGAAACACTCGATCCCATGCAAGTGGAGTCCAAATTTGTCCTCCACTGCCTTCTGGCGAGCCAAGGTATGGCTTATCCTCGACGCCCATAGGAAGAAAATCTTGTAAGATTTATGAGGTGATCCACCAACCCCCACAGCCACCACTGTCACCTCGTGAGTCAGATGGGTCGCATATGTTTAGCAGCAAAAACTGTGATGAGTTAATAATCAGACAGAAGCATAGTTCTGATATTGCAATCTTGAAGCCAGAAGGTTCTGTGATTATCAGCAAGCAAAGACCTTTGCAATGGTCCTACCAGGATACTCCAGTTTCCTTCCACACATTAAAGAAGGTGGCCAAACATGACAATATAGGGCCATAGAGCTTGGACAATAGTTGGTCACGCCGGTTCTGGCTGCCTTCCCGCTCGTCCGTGGATCCCCGTGCCCCCGAGTCGAGCGACCGCCACTCGTGATGTACGGCTGTGGCTCTCCTTGTGGATCTCCTCGAGTTCCCCTGCCATGGGAGCGAGGGGCGGCGCACCTGAAGAAGCCGTCGCTGTGCAGGATGGCCAGGCCCTCGTGCCAGTAGACCTTGCGCGCTCGGCGAATCCGAAACGTGCTGGCACGGGCATAGCTCACGTCACAGTCGGGGTCTAGGGCCTGCTTCCCCAAAGGTCTCCTGACACCTCCTACCACCTGAAAATGTCAGGAAATATTTAAATAAAACTATTTGATAATTACAATACTAAAACAAGAAGCAACATAGACAACAGCATCGTTGCTCGCAACATTATTTGATTCACTTTTTTTTTTATCTTCTCCCAATCGCATTGCGACTGCGCGGTTAACGTTGCGACGCCGTGACCGGACTGACCAATCGGATCTCTCGTAGGGCAGTGCCATCCTTCACGTCAATGAATACCCACGGAAACAGATATCACAGAGGTACTTCTGAGATACTTTTAAGTGACCTCGGAGCTACACAGCAATTTTCCACGCCCTCTACATATGAGAGGAATGTTCCTTGTACAGTCATTGGTGACCGGGTTGCTGAGACCATTAACTCACTACAATTGAGAACCCAGTTCAATCACACGTGGCTGGCTGCCTGCTTGCATTTTGACCCAACGTTTCAGCCTCTCGGAGCAACGTCACCGCAAGAGGAGGTCACCGCAAGAGGACGTCACCGTATGAGAAGGTCACCGCAAGAGAAGGTCACCGCAAGAGGAGGTCATCGCAAGAGAAGGTCACCGCAAGAGGAGGTCATCGCAAGAGAAGGTCACCGCAAGAGGAGGTCACCGCAAGGGAAGGTCACCACAAGAGAAGGTCACCGCAAGAGGAGGTCACCGCAAGACAAGGTCACCGCAAGAGGACGTCACCGCAAGAGAAGGTCACCGCAAGAGGAGGTCACCGCAAGACATGGTCACCGCAAAACAAGGTCAACGCATGAGAAGGTCACCGCAAGAGAAGGTCATCATAAGAGAAGGTCACTGCAAGAGAAGGTCACCGCAAGAGAAGGTCACCGCAAGAGGACGTCACCGCAAGACAAGGTCACCGCAAGACAAGGTCACCGCAAGAGGACGTCACCGCAAGAGGAGGTCACCGCAAGACAAGGTCACCGCAAGAGGACGTCATCGCAAGAGGAGGTCACCGCAAGAGGACATCATCGCAAGAGGAGGTCACCGCAAGACAAGGTCACCGCAAGAGGAGGTCACCGCAAGACAAGGTCACCGCAAGAGGACGTCATCGCAAGAGGAGGTCACTGCAAGAGGACGTCATCGCAAGAGGAGGTCACCGCGCAACCTTCGGCTCTGCGTCTGCGAGCTGCGCTCGGGAACCGCGGGGCAACCCCGGACCGGTTCAACGCCGTTGGTTGCGCGTGGCCACGAGCACCTGGCGCTCAATCTGAGCCACGCTGATGAGCAGGCGCGCGATGAGCCGCGACCAGAAGCCCAATGGCGTGAAGCTCATCTGCACGAGGCGGCGAACGGTCATCGTCTTCTTGCCGTCGTCTTCCAACACCGGAAGCAGCTGCAGGCCGGGCCTCTCCGGCATGAGGTGGGGCAGCAGGAAGCTGCAGCAGCAGCGTTCGCAAGGAGCAGGGAGTTGGGAAATCATCATCAGCAAGCAGTCTTAAAATCGGACACTTACATTCCTAGGTGAGAAATCATGGTAAGATTGCTGTTTGTGTCAGGAACCACAAAGATTTACATAACAAGCATGCCGCCTGTGATATAGTCTGCCCTTTAATTCGTTTCTGTCCCGTGCCGATGTCAAATATCATTCAGCGTCATTACAGTGCGGGCATTTCTGGGTTCAGTCAGGTATTTAAACAAACCAATGGACAAACATCAAGATGGATAGTTCGTCAGCCTCTACTTATACGTAAGTGTCATAAAATCAATGCAACGATTGTTAGTGCAGGGCGTTTAAGACGTGACTGAATGATGCGATTGATTTAAAAATAGGTGAAAGCCGCCCGATTTTCATGATCACTTTATGATCAAGCTAAGCCTGAGAAACTAGAGAGGGAAATGGATTGAACAATGAAATGTTTCTAGATTTAAAGCTTTCGTGACGGCTAGGATCCATACTCGTTGGTTCTATTGGGTAAAGTCACGTAGGTGAAAATAAAATAACAAAAAATCACGACGTTTCGGCCACAACACAAGCGGCCTTCATCAGGTGAAGGGACGAGACTGTCTAGAGGACAGCGCTGGAGTGGGAGAAGCCACGCTTAGATCACGACCTTTAAGCTGCCACGATCACAAGCTTAAAGGTCGTGATCTAAGCGTGGCTTCTCCCACTCCAGCGCTGTCCTCCAGACAGTCTCGTCCCTTCACCTGATGAAGGCCGCTTGTGTTGTGGCCGAAACGTCGTGATTTTTTGTTATTTTATTTTCACCTACGTGACTTTACCCAAGAGAACCAAAGAGTAATTAAATATTTGTGAGCGGTCTTCCAATCGAGGCTGCCTTGTTGAGTTTTCGTTGACACTCAAAGTCCACGTGACCACGGTTCTCCACACACTGACCACGACCGTGATAGCGAGGGGACACGTGACGTGAACGTAGTGGACGCTGGGCTCATCCTTCACGAGGCAACCACGAGCCACGGCGGTCAACTTTTACGACCCTCGCTCTCGCGGCGCGCCACCCTGCGTCGGCTCGTGCGAGCGCCCCCCACCCGTGGCGGGCGAGGTTACCCGGCGTGGCGGGGGAGGTGCCCCACCTGTCGTGCTGCAGGGGCAGCATCATCTCGAAGAGCAGCAGCAGCTGCAGGAGCTGCTCCTGGTGCCTCGCGGGAACGCCGGCGGCCGCCAGCGCCGAAACGATGGTTTCCCGGGGCCGCGTGGCGCCCTGGCCTGGCCCCGAGGCCACGCCGCGCAGCGTGCCCTCGAGGCAGTGCGCCAGCCAGCCCCCGTGCAGGAAAAGCACCTCTCCCAGGCCCCAGCTGCAGTCGGGGAAGTGCAGCAGCGCCCCCACCTCCGACAGGAACTGCACCGCTGCGGGGGGGGGGGGGCAAGGGGGGCAAGGGGGGCACGCGCTCAGCCAGAGGCGGGGGAACCGCTGTCGTGCCCGGGGCCGGAGTGCCCGGTGTTCCCCATCACTAAGCAGTGGCAGCTGTGCCCGCCGGTAACCCTCGCGCTGGCACCGAGGGTTGGTGGATCGCGCACAGATGTTGCGGCACTCTCTTCCCCTGGCTCGCCGGAGAAAGCAGTACGGCAAGTGAACTAATAACCATCTGTTTCCATCTGTACGGGGGATAGAGTGTTGCCCCCTCGCGTGAGGCGTGGCGTTTCTCTGGGTGGTCTGGTTCCCTCCCACATGTATAATAAGCATGACTCATCATTAACGGGCTGAAAACATCACCAAATCAAAACTCAATGAAGCACAACCCTCCTCAAAAAGAGTCCGACGACTCGGCATGGCTTTCTTCACCAGCCGTCAGTTGCCCCCTTATCACTCTCCTACCGCTACTACAGCATGGTGACTCTTCCCATGAACTTCACTCGTTGATTCCTCCAGCCATGTTGATGGCTCGGCCTACAGACCGACTGCATCTTCTCACCCACACAGTCGGTCACAACAACACTCACTGACTGACCCGCTCACCCACTCGCTCACCACACTGCAGATCACAATGCTTCTCTTTCTGCTTCTTCCCTCACGCTGCTCGACATTAGAATTCCCATCATCGTTTCTTTTCCCCCCAAGCTCCGACAATAACAATACCCTCACTCAATCCAAGACACGTGTTGACTCTTATCCATGACGTGATTGACAGCGCTTTGTTTAGGGGCCTTGGGTGCTGTGCTCAGCAACCGCATAAGAGAAAATAAATCTTCCTCATGGCATTGCACGAATGAGCCCGAGGGTGGCGGCGACCGCGGCCTCCAGCCGGTCACCTCGCTGCAGATCGTCGTGCGAGTAGGAGAAGTCGTTCCCCGGGGTGCTCTCCGCCAGCGCCCGCAGCTCCTCGCGCGTCAGCACCTGCGGCAGCGCGTCCGCCACGCGGCGCTGGCGCTCCGCCTGCACCGCGTCGTGCAGCGCGATGTAGCTCCTGGGCACCTGCGCGGCGCATGGAGCGGGGGGGGCGAGAGGCGGTGTGAAGGCCTCGCCGCGGCACTGCTACGGCACGGTCCGTGAACCCATCTCGTCACCCCGTCTCCGCGGCCTTTGCCCTCTTGGCGTATTCCCTCCTTTGGGTGCCATTCCAGCACCAAACTTGTCTACGTCCCGTCGGTGACGCGGGTTCCGACAAAGCAAAATGCGCTTTGCCCAAGCCGGCTTGCCGGTCGTTGTTAACCGTCACTGTGATCCCTCTCATTCGCCTTTCTTCACCGATCCACGCAGCCACTCTCCCTGTCCTCGGGGTCGGTAAGCATCTCCCCGGATCGTACGAGGCTGTCCAGCTCATGCCAAGGCTGAAGATGAGAATATGTAAATAAAAATCCTGCTGCCCTCCCTCCGCCTCCAAATCCACTCCTGGCCACCCCGCATCATGACGCGAGGAGCACGACGGAGCGCGACGCGGAGCGCGAGCGGTCTCACCAGGCGCCCCAGGAGCCGCTGGTTGGGAACGGCGCTGCCCCCGTCCTTTATGCCGCACGCCGCCCGGAAGATCAACTTCCGCAGGTCGTCGATGCCAGCGAGAGACTGGCACGACACTTCGCTGGCGCACGCGCACCGGCAGGAGACAAACATCGCGGCGCGTTATTAAACGGAATTCTCAACGCCAAGTCGCATTTACTACGGACGATTCGGATTCGGCATCCCCGCACGGTCGTCACGATAGCCACGCTGCTCAGACGATTCCCGCGGCCTCGCTGCCGCGCAGCGAGATCCCCCCCCGCGCTTCCGGGATCATGGAAATTGCCGCGAATGCTGCGTCGGCGTTGGCACTCCTGGACATCTGAACGCATCTGAAATCATTATGAGACCTCCTTTGCCAGTAACAAGATATAGTAATAGGTTTTACCCTTTTGACTGGCACAAAAACTGACACCTTTATTCAAGGCATCATGTTTGCAATAACTGCATTGGAAATCGTCGCGCTCCTCTTCCCCCCCTTCCCATCTCGCTTCGACACCGATTGACCGGATCCCTAAAACAGCGGCCGCCTCCTCCGCCGCCCCACCTCTCCGCCACAAACGCTCCGCAATCGAGACGGGGCGTTACGAACCAGATGTGCTTGCAGTCAACGCTGGGATAGCCGCTCAAGCTCCGGCCACTCGGGTCGCAGCACAGGCTGAGCACTTGGGCCTTGAGGGTGGCCAGCCTCTCGCCCATGAAGCGCACGGGCAGGCGGTCCAGGTGTGTCCCCACCACGATCACTGCCGCGTGCGGGGCCCGCGCCTGTCGGGGGAGAGACGCTCGCAGTCGGGCCCGGCTCCAGCTCCGCTCGGGGACAGGGGGGGGGCCGCTAGAGCCGTCGTGTTGGTGGGGTGGGGTGGGGGGGGGGCACCGTAACAGCGATTCCCACCGTGGTGGTGCCACAGGGACATTTGGTGGTGCAGGGCCCACCCAGTGCCATCCTCGCACCGGCCCTGTTCAGTCTTAGGCGGCTACACTGCATTGGAATAAGTACAGACTCGTGTGGTTAATGCAGACTTGATGTCTGTGTGGTTAATGTAGATTGATGCCTGTGTGGTTAATGCAGACTTGATGCCTGTGTGGTTAATGCAGACTTGATGTCTGTGTGGTTAATGCAGACTTGATGCCTGTGTGGTTAATGCAGACTTGATGCCTGTGTGGTTAATGCAGACTTGATGCCTGTGTGGTTAATGCAGACTTGATGCAGCCTTGCAATAGGTGTCTGCTTGACGTGTGAACATCTGAACACCTCCTGCATTACTGCAGATACGCGTAAAGCCGATTCATTTGTCATCAAAAAGGGTCCCACAAAGAAGGTGAGCGCGAGGGTCACGGGACACACGTGACCGTCGTCCAATCCCAAGGCACGGTAGACGCCCGGCCAACACTCGCCTGGATGGTGAGCAGCCAGTGGTGCAGGCTCACCACTCCCTCCTCGCCCAGAGCCAGGTTCCACACGAGCAGGTAGAGCGCCCGGTCGGTGCACAGGCAGCGGTGCACGGGCAGCGCGCTCGCCGTGCCGCCCACGTCCCACACCGAGAAGCGGATCTTCTCCACCTGCCCCTCGCCGCAGCGCCACCGCAGACACACAGATCCCCCGCGTGGCCTTAACAGACTGTTGGGGTGAGTGCCGGGACGACGCAAGAGGGGGTAGTGTGGCCAGCACCGTGCCCGGTAGCGAAGCAGCGATAGTTTTCAGCGCAAGCAGCGCGGACCGCGGTGTTTCATCTCCGCCGGCGTCGCTCCGAGCGGGAAGCGCACCTTGAGGTCGGCGAGGCCCAGGGGGCGCTGCAGGTCCCAGGTGCTGAGCACGATGGGCACGTCGGGGCAGCCGCCCGAGACCGGCGGCGGCGGCGGCTTCCGCCGGTGTCTCAGCGACGAGAGGAGCGACGTCTTCCCCTGGTGCGAGGGGCCGACCACCATGAGCTTGAGGGAGTAGCAGTGCTGCGAGCGGCGCTGCTGGGCCCGCAGGTAGGCCAAGATAGCCGGCGTCCCTGCAGTGGCAACGCGCGCGCAGATTTAATAATGGTTGTAATAATGTGACAGCAAAATACGCGTCGATATAATAATGACGATAATATTTGTATTTAGAGTTTAACATGCCTCAGAAATGCAAAGTGCTTTACACAGTATCTCGTCTGGCAGACTTATGAGGGCATAAGTCTGCCAGGAGAGGGGAGGGCGATGATGCCGTGTGTAAAACCAATGGAATTCTAGATTTAAACCTTTCGTGACTGCTAGGATTTTTGTTGTTTTTTATGTGACTTTACCGAATAGAACCAAAGAGTATGAACCAATGGAATATTCCGTTCAAACGTCCACTGTACCTTGCAGACAAACATTAAACCACTGTTCTTAGCTAAATGAGATTTTCAGGAAATATCCAACTCTGACGAATGTGCCGAAGGAGGCATTTATTTGATTTTACGCTCAGAGGGGATGGCTGTTGTGCCACCGTACCGTTGGGGTCATGCAGGAGGTCAGCAGGGACATTGGAGATCTCCAGCTCGTCGATCTCCAGCAGCCACAGGTTGCTGAGGCTGCCCAGCGCGTGCGGCAGCTCGCGGATGCCCGGGTTCCTGCATCACCACGGTTATCATCACCACGGTTATCATCACCACGGTTATCATCACCACGGTTATCATCACCACGGTTATCATCACCACGGTTATCATCACCACGGTTATCATCACCACGAGAGCTCAGGACACGCGCAGCGTCTCCTCCCTACACCCTCCAGCCACTCCCCGGCAGAGACACCCAGCTGGGCAGTCGTCTTCCCATTTAGTTCCCTTCCAGCTCCTTGTGGCCTGGGTGAGATCCCTCCGCCGCCTCCTCGCCCCTCCTTCTCCCTGTCCCTCCTCCCGCTGTCCCACATCGGCTTCACCGTTTCTTTTACGCGTCACCTTTCTTTGTCGACACCCGACGATGATGATGCTGGATGTAATCACCAGCGAAACGTCGTACAACAACATTGTCACTGTTTTGCTTGCGTCTCAACGCTCTTGCCCTGGTTTGTGCTGAAAGAAACAAATCAATTTTCACCTTTGCTCATGAGACAACTTGATTTGACTGGCTCTATCGGGTAGTGGACTGCTACAAGTAAAAATTCACATTACACCTACACGATGATAGAACTCAAAAGAACTTAGTGATGAATCATCGTCGCCTTTTTGTTTGAGATGAGTTTTCACCGCGTCAACCCATCTGTGGTTCCTCCTTACGCTTCAAAGTCGCTCTCTCTACGAGTCGCTCTCTCTACGAGTCGCTCTCTCTACGAGTCGCTCTCTCTACGAGTCGCTCTCTCTACGAGTCGCTCTCTCTACGAGTCGCTCTCTCTACGAGTCGCTCTCTCTACGAGTCGCTCTCCCTACGAGTCGCTCTCCCTACGAGTCGCTCTCTCTACGAGTCGCTCTCTCTCTACGAGTCGCTCTCTCTCTACGAGTCGCTCTCTCTCTACGAGTCGCTCTCTCTCTACGAGTCGCTCTGTCTACGAGTCGCTCTGTCTACGAGTCGCTCTGTCTACGAGTCGCTCTGTCTACAAGTCGCTCTGTCTACAAGTCGCTCTGTCTATGAGTCGCTCTCCCTACGAGTCGCTCTCCCTACGAGTCGCTCTGTCTACGAGTCGCTCTGTCTACGAGTCGCTCTCTCTACGAGTCGCTCTCTCTACATCACGATCGTGTTACACGTGAACGGTGGCTGACAACCTGCGGGGCGCACCTGGAGAGGTAGAGCTCCTGCAAAGCTAGGAGGGAGCCGATGGAAGAAGGAACGCTGTCCATAAAGTTGCTGCTCAGGTTGAGGGCTTCCAGCGTGCTCCCCAGAAAGTCCGGTAAGTCCAGAAGCACACCTGCAAAGCGCACAAAAACATCACAGCGGACACAACGCCTCGGCTGTTGCGATTCGATGATTCACCTCTTAAAATCGATTCTTACATTCACAACATGTGCCAAATTGTGCGTCTGCAAATCAGTTGCTTCCCAATCATGTGCCGTATGTAAATTGCGAATGGACACACTACAGCCACTTTAGATTCTTCCTGCACGACAGTCGGGGCCTTAAATATATAAATACGCAATAGGCGACGTTTCAGACAATGGCCCTTCTTCATAGCACACGGAGAGGCCAGAGACGTAGAGCCAATCCCAAATCAAATGATGGTCCCATACATATTGTGGCAAAGTAACTACGCAGACAATACACCTCCTTCACGCGGCCATCCCTCCACACATCCCATCAACCATGTGGCCGTCTGGGAGGAGGTGCTTCGCTACATCCGTACAAGAAAATGCCAGAATCACTGAGGCCTCTGCGTGTCAAAAACGGATTCTACATTTCCACTCGTGACACCCATCTGAAAGAAGTATTTGTTGTTAACGGCACCCATCTGAAAGAAGTATTTGTTGTTAACGGCAGCGCCATTGTAAACGTTGAGGGACGACGGCAACGCGAGACGGCGCTAGCCAGGCCCCATCGAGGAGCGCTGCGATCCAGCAAACGTGGCGAGCGCAATTCCTGGATCCCCCTCAGCTTAGACCACGAAGCAGATTCTTCAACGTAAATATCATAGCCACTTAAAGCCCGGAAGCTACGTTAGCTACGGTGTCTGCTGCTGCTGCTGTTGGGCGATGCTCACACCTTCCATCGGGTGTCTCAGCTTCCTGGTGATGAACGCGACGAGCCGGTTCCTGCTCCCGCTGCCGCCGCCGCCGCTGCCGCTGCCCCTGCTACCGGAGTTCACCGCCACGGCAGAGATAAACGCTTGGGTCACGTTCACCGCCACGGCTCAAGCAGGACGCACCGCCGCGGTCCGGCAGTCCACCGCTAACCGCCCGTGGCGAGCGAGCGAGGGTTGAACGCTTCCCGGCGCTCGCCGCTCGTTGGAGAGGTCCACGGTTGGAATCCGGCAGGCCGCGCCAGTTTTTGGCGTGGAACACGTAAACCGTACACGACTCCACGCCACCGTTCACTTCACAGTGGCGTCCTGCTCCAGATTGTCCAAATTCCAAGGATTGCCAGCAAACGACTCGACGTGGATCACACGGAGCAGCAGCAGCAGCAGCAGCACCAGCAGCAGCAGCACCATTGGTGCTGCTGCTGCTGCGACGCCACTGCCACGCCGTGTCGCTGGGACACAGCGCCTGCCTTGGTGACAGCCTTGCGCTATGAGAATCGTAGTGCCAAAACCATTGTACTAACTTATTATAAGGCAACCACAGTTTACCATACTACAGTGCATGCATAAAGGGCTGCAGATGAATTACAACATTCCTCTCAACGAGTTTTCCTTCATATTCTTGGTTCTTTCGGTAAAGTCACGTAGAAGGGAAACAATAAAATAATAATACAAATTTATTATTATTATTTTATTGTTTCCCTTCTACGTGACTTATTTTATTGTTTCCCTTCTATGTGACTTTACCGAAAGAACCAAGACTATGAATCCTTGCAGTCATGAAAGCTTTAAATCAAGAGTTTTCTTTCCTTGTTTTTTTGCAAATGCCCTTAACGTTAAATAATAAATTGAGGTGACTCGTTCTCACGACCACACAGACGCACCACTCGGTGTGAATGCGATGACAAGCACCCCGGGTCCTCACCACCAGGGACACCAGCGCTCACCATTCCAGAGGCTCCCTGCCCGCAAGCGGTGGGGCTGCCTTGCACCACAACCCGACTGGACACGGCAGGTGCAACCACTTTTTACGCAAATGGAAAATTCAGGAATCACCAAAATGCAACTCCGGTGCACCACAACAAACATTTGGACACATCGTGAGCCTATGGATCTCTGTGTGAGTCTATGGGTCTCTGTGTGAGCCTATGGATCTCTGTGTGAGTCTATAGGTCTCTGTGTGAGCCTATGGGTCTCTGTGTGCGTCTACAGGTCTCTGTGTGAGTCTATGGGTCTCTGTGCGAGTCTACAGGTCTCTGTGTGAGTCTATGGGTCTCTGTTTGAGTCTACAGGTCTCTTTGTGTGTCTATGGATCTCTGTGTGAGTCTATAGGTGTCTTTGTGAGTCTACGTGTCTGTGTGAGTCGATCTGTCTCTGTGCGAGTCTATGGGTCTCTGTGTGAGCCTATGGGTCTCTGTGTGAGTCTACGTGTCTGTGTGAGTCTATTTGTCTCTGTGTAAGTCTACGTGTCTGTGTGAGTCGATCTGTCTCTGTGCGAGTCTATGGGTCTCTGTGTGAGTCTACGTGTCTGTGTGAGTCGATCTGTCTCTGTGTGAGTCTATGGGTCTCTGTGTGAGTCTATGGGTCTCTGTGTGAGTCTATGGGTCTCTGTGTGAGTCTATAGGTCTCTGTGTGAGTCTACGTGTCTGTGTGAGTCGATTTGTCTCTGTGTATATCTATGGGTCTCTATATAAGTATATGGCTCTTTGTGAGGGTTTATGGCTCTCTGTGTGAGTTTATGGATCTGTGTGTGAGTCTATGGGTCTGTGTACGAGTCTACGGATCTATGTGTGAGTCTACGGATCTATGTGTGAGTCTACGGGTCTGTGTGCGAGTCTACGGGTGTCTGAGTGAACGCATGTCCACTGTGAGTCTATGGCTCTCTGTGTGAAAGCTGCGAACGTTTTCTGAGGGCATGAGTGGTTCACACTCCCTGCGCTCTGAAGCCAGCAGCTGGATTCACAACTTAGACATCGGGTTTTAGTCGCCACTCAACTCAAATGAGTAAGGGGAAGCAGCGGCAGCGCACCTGAACAAAGATGGTTGCTTGCCAATGTAGTTTTGTGACAAGTCGAGGGTCTGCAGCTTGCAGCACGTCCACAACCGCGCAGGAGGAATGACCAGCAGATGATTATCAGAGATATTCAAACTCTGCAGCTCCTGTGCACAAATGTTGCACAGTGGGGAAATCATTATCCGACATGCAGCAGGCGCTCGCAACCAATGTCTCGATTCATAGTTGACCTTTGGGTCAGGTTGCCTCAGTACAATGTCTGTCGTACACCCTCCTCCACCCGACATGGTCGATTAATAAAAGTGCCACGTGATGAAGAATCGTGGTCAGTGTATTGCCACTTCAGCAGCAGCAGCAGCACCGATGTGGCGTTGGAGAGCGCACAGCGTTTAACGCCACACCGGCGGCACTGCTCCTAACCGGAGCAGACGGGGCGATTGGTGATCCTGCACTCACCGATTCACTCCGCTCACCTCACTCACTAGTGGCCAGCCGCCTCATTATCGCTCTTCTACCACTACTACGAGCTTGATCGCCGTTCCCGTGAACGTCACTCGTTGATTCCTCCACTCTCGGTTCTACCAGACACCAACTGTCGTCTCATCCGCCACACTGAGAGTCACAAATCACCCCCTCGCCACACTGCAGGTCACAACCACCCACTCATCCGCTCACTCACCCACTCACCCACCCACTCACCCGCTCACTCACCCACTCACACACCAACTCACCCGCTCACTCATCCACTCACACACCAACTCACCCGCTCACTCACCCACCACACTGCGGGTCACAACCACCCACGCATCCGCTCACTCACCCACTCACTCACTCACCCACTTACCACATTGCAGGTCACAGCCACACACTCACTCACCCACCCACTCACCACACTGCAGATCACAGCCACACACTCACTCACCCACCCAACCACACCAACTCACCCACCCACTCACCACACCAACTCACCAACTCACCCACCCACTCACCACACCAACTCACCCACTCACCAAACCAACTCACCCACTCACCACACCAACTCACCCACTCACCAAACCAACTCACCCACTCACCACACCAACTCACCCACTCACCACACCAACTCACCCACTCACCGCACCAACTCACCCACTCACCACACCAACTCACCCACTCACCACACCCACTCACCACACCAACTCACCACACCAACTCACCCACTCACCACACCCACTCACCACACCAACTCACCCACTCACCCACCCACTCACCACACCAACTCACCACACTGCGGGTCACAGCGTTTCTCTTTCTGCTTCTTTCCTCGCACCGCTCCACTTTGGAATTTCCTCCCATTCGTCTCTTTCTCCGCATGCGCTCACAATAACCTCGGTTCAATTTCACGAAACGCGTCACACACACGCTCTTATCCGTGACAACTCTGACAGCGCTGTTTGTCGCTGGCCGTTTGGCGTTTTGGGCCGTTGTGCCGCGGATTGCTCACTGGGGCCGCACCGTGAGCTGCAGGATGGCCCCTGGGAGCTCGGCGAGGGAGTTGTTGCTGAGGTCGAGCTCTTGCAGGGAGCTCGACCAGTGTAGCTGGAAGCCCTCCCCAATCTCCTCCAGCTGGTTGTGAGTCGCCTTCAGCTGCACCTGCGCGTGGATAACGGGAGACGTACGACAATTCCCCGTGATGATCCGGGCCAGGTTTTGTCGTGTAAACCCTCCACCACCCGATGTGGGTGGTGCTGAAAGTCCCTTCACTGACCAGAAGGAGCTCGAGGTGGTTTCGAGCGGCGCGTCGAATCCAATCGCAACATGGCGGTTGCGAGATTCGTCGTGACGCTTCTCAAGTCTCACGCCTCGTGTCTCACTTGTGTCTCACGTCTTGTGTCTCACTTGTGTCTCACGTCTTGTGTCTCACGTCTTGTGTCTCACGCCTTGTGTCTCACACCTTGTGTCTCATGTCTTGTCTCACACCTCGTGTCTCACGTCTTGTGTCTCACTTGTGTCTCACGTCTTGTGTCTCACTTGTGTCTCACGTCTTGTGTCTCACTTGTGTCTCACTTGTGTCTCACGTCTTGTGTCTCACTTGTGTCTCACTTGTGTCTCACGTCTTGTGTCTCACGTCTTGTGTCTCACTTGTGTCTCACGTCTTGTGTCTCACGTCTTGTGTCTCACTTGTGTCTCACGTCTTGTGTCTCACGTCTCGTGTCTCACGTCTTGTGTCTCACACCTTGTGTCTCATGCCTTGTGTCTCATGCCTTGTCTCACGTCTTGTGTCTCACGTCTTGTGTCTCACGTCTTGTGTCTCACGTCTTGTGTCTCACGTCTTGTGTCTCACTTGTGTCTCACTTGTGTCTCACGTCTTGTGTCTCACACCTTGTGTCTCACTTGTGTCTCACTTGTGTCTCACTTGTGTCTCACGTCTTGTGTCTCACGTCTTGTGTCTCACACCTTGTGTCTCACGTCTTGTGTCTCACGTCTTGTGTCTCACTTGTGTCTCACGTCTTGTGTCTCACGCCTTGTGTCTCACTTGTGTCTCACTTGTGTCTCACGTCTTGTGTCTCACGTCTTGTGTCTCACGTCTTGTGTCTCACGTCTTGTGTCTCACTTGTGTCTCACGTCTTGTGTCTCACGTCTTGTGTCTCACTTGTGTCTCACTTGTGTCTCACGTCTTGTGTCTCACGTCTTGTGTCTCACACCTTGTGTCTCACGTCTTGTGTCTCACTTGTGTCTCACGTCTTGTGTCTCACGTCTTGTGTCTCACGTCTTGTGTCTCACACCTTGTGTCTCACGTCTTGTGTCTCACGTCTTGTGTCTCACTTGTGTCTCACGTCTTGTGTCTCACGTCTTGTGTCTCACTTGTGTCTCACGTCTTGTGTCTCACGCCTTTCTCTCACTTGTGTCTAACTTGTGTCTCACTTGTGTCTCACGTCTTGTGTCTCACGTCTTGTGTCTCACACCTTGTGTCTCACGTCTTGTGTCTCACTTGTGTCTCACTTGTGTCTCACGTCTTGTGTCTCACGTCTTGTGTCTCACTTGTGTCTCACGTCTTGTGTCTCACGCCTTGTGTCTCACTTGTGTCTCACTTGTGTCTCACGTCTTGTGTCTCACGTCTTGTGTCTCACGTCTTGTGTCTCACACCTTGTGTCTCACGTCTTGTGTCTCACTTGTGTCTCACTGTGTCTCACGTCTTGTGTCTCACGTCTTGTGTCTCACGTCTTGTGTCTCACTTGTGTCTCACGTCTTGTGTCTCACGTCTTGTGTCTCACTTGTGTCTCACTTGTGTCTCACTTGTGTCTCACGTCTTGTGTCTCACGTCTTGTGTCTCACGTCTTGTGTCTCACTTGTGTCTCACGTCTTGTGTCTCACGCCTTGTGTCTCACTTGTGTCTCACTTGTGTCTCACGTCTTGTGTCTCACGTCTTGTGTCTCACTTGTGTCTCACGTCTTGTGTCTCACTTGTGTCTCACTTGTGTCTCACGTCTTGTGTCTCACTTGTGTCTCACGTCTTGTGTCTCACTTGTGTCTCACGTCTTGTGTCTCACTTGTGTCTCACTTGTGTCTCACGTCTTGTGTCTCACTTGTGTCTCACGTCTTGTGTCTCACTTGTGTCTCACGTCTTGTGTCTCACGTCTTGTGTCTCACGTCTTGTGTCTCACGTCTTGTGTCTCACACCTTGTGTCTCACGTCTTGTGTCTCACTTGTGTCTCACGTCTTGTGTCTCACGTCTTGTGTCTCACTTGTGTCTCACTTGTGTCTCACGTCTTGTGTCTCACTTGTGTCTCACTTGTGTCTCACGTCTTGTGTCTCACTTGTGTCTCACGTCTTGTGTCTCACGCCTTGTGTCTCACTTGTGTCTCACTTGTGTCTCACGTCTTGTGTCTCACGCCTTGTGTCTCACTTGTGTCTCACTTGTGTCTCACTTGTGTCTCACGTCTTGTGTCTCACACCTTGTGTCTCACGTCTTGTGTCTCACGTCTTGTGTCTCACTTGTGTCTCACGTCTTGTGTCTCACACCTTGTGTCTCACTTGTGTCTCACTTGTGTCTCACGTCTTGTGTCTCACTTGTGTCTCACGTCTTGTGTCTCACGTCTTGTGTCTCACGTCTTGTGTCTCACGTCTCGTGTCCCACTTGTGTCTCACACCTTGTGTCTCACGCCTTGTGTCTCACGTCTTGTGTCTCACGTCTTGTGTCTCACACCTTGTGTCTCACGTATTTGTCTCCGTCTTGTGTCTCACGTCTTGTGTCTCAATTGTGTCTCACTTGTGTCTCACGTCTTGTGTCTCACGTCTTGTGTCTCACGTCTTGTATCTCACGCCTTGTGTCTCACTTGTGTCTCACCGTCTTGTGTCTCACGCCTTGTGTCTCACGGTCTTGTGTCTCACGTCTTGTGTCTCACGTCTGTATGTCTCACTTGTGTCTCACTTATGTCTCACGTCTTGTGTCTCACGCCTTGTGTCTCACACCTTGTGTCTCACACCTTGTGTCTCACGCCTTGTGTCTCACGTCTTGTGTCTCACGTCTTGTGTCTCACGTCTTGTGTCTCACACCTTGTGTCTCACGTCTTGTGTCTCACGTCTTGTGTCTCACACCTTGTGTCTCACACCTTGTGTCTCACACCTTGTGTCTCACTTGTGTCTCACGTCTTGTGTCTCACGTCTTGTGTCTCACGTCTTGTGTCTCACTTGTGTCTCACGTCTTGTGTCTCACGTCTTGTGTCTCACACCTTGTGTCTCACTTGTGTCTCACTTGTGTCTCACGTCTTGTGTCTCACGTCTTGTGTCTCACACCTTGTGTCTCACGTCTTGTGTCTCACACCTTGTGTCTCACGTCTTGTGTCTCACGTCTTGTGTCTCACGTCTTGTGTCTCACGTCTTGTGTCTCACACCTTGTGTCTCACACCTTGTGTCTCACTTCTTGTGTCTCACGTCTTGTGTCTCACGTCTTGTGTCTCACGTCTTGTGTCTCACGTCTTGTGTCTCACGCCTTGTGTCTCATGTCTTGTGTCTCACGTCTTGTGTCTCACGTCTTGTGTCTCATGTCTTGTGTCTCACGTCTTGTGTCTCACACCTTGTGTCTCATGTCTTGTGTCTCACGCCTTGTGTCTCACTTGTGTCTCACGTCTTGTGTCTCACGTCTTGTGTCTCACGTCTTGTGTCTCACTTGTGTCTCACGTCTTGTGTCTCACTTGTGTCTCACACCTTGTGTATCACGTCTTGTGTCTCACACCTTGTGTCTCACGTCTTGTGTCTCATTTGTGTCTCACGTCTTGTGTCTCACGTCTTGTGTCTCACGTCTTGTGTCTCACGTCTTGTGTCTCACGTCTTGTGTCTCACTTGTGTCTCACTTGTGTCTCACGTCTTGTGTCTCACGTCTTGTGTCTCACGTCTTGTGTCTCACTTGTGTCTCACTTGTGTCTCACGTCTTGTGTCTCACACCTTGTGTCTCATGTCTTGTCTCACACCTCGTGTCTCACGTCTTGTGTCTCACTTGTGTCTCACGTCTTGTGTCTCACTTGTGTCTCACGTCTTGTGTCTCACTTGTGTCTCACTTGTGTCTCACGTCTTGTGTCTCACTTGTGTCTCACTTGTGTCTCACGTCTTGTGTCTCACGTCTTGTGTCTCACTTGTGTCTCACGTCTTGTGTCTCACGTCTTGTGTATCACTTGTGTCTCACGTCTTGTGTCTCACGTCTCGTGTCTCACGTCTTGTGTCTCACACCTTGTGTCTCATGCCTTGTGTCTCATGCCTTGTCTCACGTCTTGTGTCTCACGTCTTGTGTCTCACGTCTTGTGTCTCACGTCTTGTGTCTCACTTGTGTCTCACTTGTGTCTCACGTCTTGTGTCTCACGTCTTGTGTCTCACACCTTGTGTCTCACTTGTGTCTCACTTGTGTCTCACTTGTGTCTCACGTCTTGTGTCTCACGTCTTGTGTCTCACACCTTGTGTCTCACGTCTTGTGTCTCACGTCTTGTGTCTCACTTGTGTCTCACGTCTTGTGTCTCACTTGTGTCTCACTTGTGTCTCACTTGTGTCTCACGTCTTGTGTCTCACGTCTTGTGTCTCACGTCTTGTGTCTCACTTGTGTCTCACGTCTTGTGTCTCACGTCTTGTGTCTCACTTGTGTCTCACTTGTGTCTCACGTCTTGTGTCTCACGTCTTGTGTCTCACACCTTGTGTCTCACGTCTTGTGTCTCACTTGTGTCTCACGTCTTGTGTCTCACGTCTTGTGTCTCACGTCTTGTGTCTCACGTCTTGTGTCTCACACCTTGTGTCTCACGTCTTGTGTCTCACTTGTGTCTCACTTGTGTCTCACGTCTTGTGTCTCACGTCTTGTGTCTCACTTGTGTCTCACGTCTTGTGTCTCACGCCTTTGTCTCACTTGTGTCTCACTTGTGTCTCACTTGTGTCTCACGTCTTGTGTCTCACGTCTTGTGTCTCACACCTTGTGTCTCACGTCTTGTGTCTCACTTGTGTCTCACTTGTGTCTCACGTCTTGTGTCTCACGTCTTGTGTCTCACTTGTGTCTCACGTCTTGTGTCTCACGCTTGTGTCTCACTTGTGTCTCACTTGTGTCTCACGTCTTGTGTCTCACGTCTTGTGTCTCACGTCTTGTGTCTCACACCTTGTGTCTCACGTCTTGTGTCT